TATTGAACTTACATTTTACATAAAAGGTGTATGCATCTGGATAATTATAGTTGATAGAGGCACTTCCTATAGTGAATTCTATGAGTCTATACTTTTTATGTCCGTTTAACGATTTTTTAGTTATTTCCTTCAACTGCTATTCTGAAGTGAATTAATTAAGAGATGCAACTCAGATATTAGAAATAAGCCTCAAAGCTCTTTGCTGACAATTTCTGTTTAAGCTTTAGTTGGAAGAGTAGCCCCTGAGTAACAGCTTTATTCTTTTGAAATCTTTGCATTACTCGTATGTATTATGCCTCATCCTGCTTTAACAGTTGGCTGCATTCGAAGAATTTCTTTTCTGGCAGCCTGTTTTATATTTATAAACTCAACCAACCAGCAGCGCTCTGCTGTTGCCATGTATAAAAGCTAACTGCACATTTGCTGCCATTTTTCACACACTCGCTTCCACTTCCATGGACTCGGCATGTCTCCCTGCTATCCTGCTCGACTTCTATCCTGCTCGGCTGCCAGCCTGACATGTTTTGTTTCATGCAATTTAACAGCTTTTGACTAAAATAACAAGCCCAGCAAAATGGAGCACAACAAGCACACATTTCCACATTCCGGCAGGACTCGGGGAACACCAAAGTCAACCCAAACAATGCAGTTGGAGCCTCGAACGACCGTCTGCATATTTTTGCAGCGTAAAATAAACCGCCACAGCAGCAACATTTTGGTTAGTTGGGCGCACCCCACACACCCACAGACACACACATATGTATATGTACATATATTTCAAGTAGACGTGCAATCTATGGTTGCTATAATAAAATGAAATATATATTTTTTTAACAATTACCTTAGAAAAGCTTTTAGGATAAACGGAAGTTGCTCGCTGGCCGAACAGCAACCACCAACCAACAACCGACCACCAACTGCCAAATGCGTTAATTGCAACAAAGGGCGCTTAAAATTTACGTTTGAAAGCGCTTGCGGTTTTATTTATTATTATTATTTCTGCTATCTTGATACGTATGTATGTAAGTACATACATGCAGCGATATGTGCACAACATGAGTATTTCAAGGCTATTATAAGGAACTGCTACAGCAATATCAATATTTGCACTTGTTTAGGGTTATTTTTAAACTGACGTCAAATTTTACGAAAGCAAGTCACATGTGTGTGATTCACAAAGTTAATACTTAGTACAACTATGTGCTTAATTGATGTTTAATTACTTATTGTGTGACAAAATCGTACAGTCGTTTTTTAAGCCAATGCTAGCTGAATTAAAGCCCATATTTTCAAAACTTTTTCTAAATCATTTTAGCGCAGTCCGAAACCGTCAGAAAAGCACCTGAGAACTCAAAGAAATGTACTAATAATCTAATCAATTGGTAGCAAACATATGATTCCAACCGATTTATGCAGTTAAGATTTAGGAAAAATACATATTAGGACGATTTCCCAAATTCTAAAAAATTTATTTTTCTGCATACAACAACATAGAGTACGTGACTTGCCTCTTCTAACAGCCAACAGCTAGGTTGGCAGCTTCCTAATTGCGACAGAAGAACATACATATGTATGTTAATAAGATGTATGTGTTTGTGTTGGTGTTCTCACTTATTTGTTGAGTGCTTTTCAAGGTTGTCATAATGTTCCAAACTAACCTCTTTCGTTGTTGTCAAATAACAACGATTTCCACTTTCTATCCTTTACTTTTTCCGACACTGCAGGTACTGGGACTCACCAAAAACACAATGCCAAAAAAACTGCGTAAAAAATTCCATTAAAAAGCAATGCATTTACATCCATTCCCACAGCCCAGGGCTACGTCTACGCATGCGTGGCACGACCTGCCACCCTGTCTTCTGCCTTATGAAATGTACAAATTGTGTTAAATAAGTAACGAGTTGCTGCTGCGCATCCCTGGCAGCCGCGCGAGTTCCGTGATGCATGCGTTCTGGCCACAGACACGCACAAGTCACGTACCCGCAGCTTTGGCTTTGAACCGAACATTCATACATATATCATGACAACAGAGCCACTCACACATACATAGGAGTACCTAACTCCTCACATCCACTCTCCTCAGACATGCAAAAGCTGCAATATTTTCACTAAAATATTTATGCTTCTAGCGGAAATTGTGTTTCGTTGTTAGTCAGCTGCTGGAAGTGGATGTGGAAGTGCCTGAATTCTAGGGAAACATTCAAAAGGTGTAAATATGTTCTCAGCCCCATAGTGAAGAAGTAATTATTGCCATTGCCTGTGGTAGTTCTCGCTCAGGAGGTTGGTTGCTCTACACGTTCTATTTTATTACTTATTTGAAACATAAGTAACAATTTAGAGGTGAAAAGTTTACAAATTACTAAAAGCTTTTCGCGAAGGCAATTATAAATAACATAAATATTATAGTGTTAATTAATATTCCACCTCCCGTTTGTAGCTCTCTTCCATTATCTAAAACGGAATGCAATTCGTTTAATCCCAACTCTTACAAAAACAATACGAACTACAATCGTTAATTGATCAATTCAGTTCGTTCTCGCGTGAAAAAATGCGCTCAATTCGTCTTCATAAAAACCTAAAATATTCCAGATTAGCTTCGAAAAAAGATAATGTATTGAATTTATGAAGATTTTCATATTATCATAACATATTTATTTTTTTGTATACTAAGTTTACAATAAAAAATATCGTATGTGAATATTCATATTCATCTTAAGCTTTTTAGATTAAGTCATTGGTCCTATTTATATTTTATATCAAAAGAAAAATGCTTTCTTATTGAATTAGAAAACTCAGTTTCAAAGTCAAGACTTAAGAAATCGCATCTGAACTGTACGGAGACCAATTGAAGAATTCCTATAAATTCAAAGACTTTAATATCATATGCATATAAGTACGTATGCGAGTATTATGATAGAAGTTCCAATTTCTCAACCGCTGTACAGCAATATATACTGCCAGCTTCACATGTTATTTGTTATTCAGCAGCAGTTTTAAATGTGGCACACCATGCCAGTAACGATTGAAATACCTTCAATGGTTAAGAGGGTACAGTTGTGAAATGTTTAAGCACGCCTAAAAGAATGCAATATATTCGCAACATTACGTGGCATGCAACAGCAACTCCTTTGTGCAAAGTTTGCCGCAACCCGCAACATTTACGCATGTTTCAAATACTTTGAAAAAAGCCAAAGAAGAGTGGCAGAAGGAATGGCAGGACCTGCATTTAAATGCAGAAAATTCCATGGCAGAAGAGAAGAGCGAGAATCAATTGAAGCTAATAGTATGTGTAAAGCCAATGTAATGAAATATGAAAGGATATAGCATTTAAGTTGTGTATAAATGTTTATTATATTATTGGTTAGAAAAAATGGGAATGGGGATGGGCATGGCCAACCGCCCTTGTGGTCAATAAATTGAATGCAACTCGCTAGTAACTCAAAGAACGAACGCAGAACAATGTTAACGACTTGTTTTATAATTGATAGTATTGCTTGGCCCTGTACATAAATTTCAGATGCTATGCCTTTTCTTGCTCAATGAGATGGAAAGGCAGCCGATGCTCTTTTTTAGCCGTTTCCATGCTAGGCCAATGCACTTTTAATGCGTTTATTGACTTTTTAGCCACGCAAATACTTAAAACACTCTTTGTGGACTTCAAAATGGTGTAATGTGAAAAATGCGATTGCTTTAAAGATACAACTTATATATATTTTATAAAGCAACAACAATAAACAATATAATTGCCATAATAATTGTTTAGCGAACATGACATTTCAATTATACTGACATGCAAGAATAATGGCGTGCTCGCAGACCAAGGTGGATGGGCTTTCGAGACAAGACAAGCTGTTGGTGACACCCAAAACAAAGGGAACAGTTCAATTGTATAGAAATTGAATATTTCGTAAACAATTTCAACAAAATTCAAAGCAGGCAGTTTACAGTTCAAACCTATTGGAAGCAAGAACACACGATAATTTATTTCATCAGGTAAGAATTTATAAATTTGCAAAAAGAAAAATAATTTATTTTACAAAAAAATAAAGTAAATATTCCTAATAATATATAATACTATACGTAAATCTTCCTAATATTAAATATTCCTAATAAGCAGAGTACTTTCAATTGGAATTTGATTTGTTTTTAAATTAATGAACATTCAAAAATAGGTAACTGCAATCATTTCCTATCTCATTGGCACCTTCGATTGGACGGTAAGTAAAAGTTTTAGGAACATAATATCCGCTTCAAAAAGTGCTGATCAAAGTTGTATTTGGAATTAGAGTTTTTCTGAAATTGTGACTCCTGGGCCGTTACTCCCCTACAAAAAATTCTGCCATGTAAAGACGACCACACGTTAATTATTATGACGCACTATTTCAACTTAAAATGGATCTGAGTTGGATTTGTTGAAGTTTTTTCATTGATCATATGCATAAATTATTTTTTAAATGCATCGTTAATAAAAATTTAAATTTTTTTGTTAGTTTTGTGCGAGTGTACATGGAACACGCAGAAGGAGGCGTGTCAGACCCCACAAAGTATATACATTCTTGATCAGAATGACACGCCGAGTCGATATAGCCAAGTCCGCCCGCCTCTCCGTCTATCTGTCTGTCCGTCTGTCTGCCTGTATGAACGCCAGGATCTCTGAAAGTATAAGAGCTAGAATAACCAAACTTGGTATCTAGATTCTCCTGAGCCCGAGAAAGGACGAGTTTGTTCATCATATCTACATCGCATCTTCACAGTTAGACTCTCTGATTCATTTGGAAAATCGAATAACCATCAGATTTTGATCATTTTTGAACATATTCATTAAGGTCGCTCGTTTTAAGAATTAAAACACATCTGTCAGTAATGAAGCTTCAAATAAGCTTGTCAGAAATGACAGTCGACTTAATTAAGAATAATTTCTATTGAAAAATCATAATCGCTGGAGTGAGTTCTGGCGTTCGGTTGTTGCAAAATTAACATCTATACCTACCTAGCTGTTCATGTTTCGATTTTACAAACTTTATTCGCTCTATCTGAACAAAATGTCACCAATGGAGTGGTGTCTGTGCGAGAAGCTGCCCCGCGCCGTTCTTCACATACCGCTGACAGCGGACAAGAAGTGCGATCTTTGCGGTCTGCCGCGTCGTCCACGCAGCGGCAACAGCTCCTCCAGCGATGAGGAAGGCGAGCGTCGCCAGCGGATGCTCGCCGAGCGGCGACGTGCAGAGGAAGCGTGCAAAGGCAAGGTGCGAGTGAAGGTCGCCATGAGCGCAAAGAAGCCCAAGCCGAGCAAGACTTGCGGCAAATGTGGTGGCACCCAAAAGCTGGCAACGTGCCAAGTCAATGAGAGCAATGTCAACCATAAAGTATACGCTGGACGCTTTGGACACTACAAGAAACCCAAACGGCTACCCATGGGCAGTATGGCTGGACAGACATCCCGCGGCGAAGCAGGCGGAGCAGAGCCAAACGGGCTACTACAAGAGAAGCCGCAGCAGCAGGAGGAGCTCCCACCACGTCGTTCAATACCCAATACCAGAACGCACGAATCGCTGTGGGAACCGACCTCGGATATGCCCCGCCTAGTGGCCATGGCGCACGAGGTATTTAATCGGCCGATGCACATGCGCCAACGCTATTATTCTAGTCTGTTTGTCAGCGACTTTATACCGTTGACAAAGCCGATTACGGATCGAACTTGCGGCGCCATATCAAAGCGCAGAACGGGCGGACGAGCGTTCATGGAGCATCGCAGTCGTCCATTGCCGCCACTGTCCAAGGTGCTGGCAGATATGCGCGAAAGTCGTGAACGTGAAGAGGAGTTGGAAGCAAACATGAGAGCTAGTGGCGGTGGTTTGGCACAACCTACCACTTCGATACCAAGCAGTGCATACTCCACACAATTCCTGCCATTCAACAGCTACGAAGGACCCTCGGAGGATGCTCTGGTAGTGCAGAGTGCACGCTCTTTGCTGTCGCGACCAAACTCGTTGCACATAACGCCACGCACCGACCTGCCCTGCACTCGTCTGCCCACCTTTGAATCGGAGAGCAGTAGCAACTGCTCCTCACCCTCTAAGGGCATGCAATCTGCAGAGCAGTCGGAAATCTTTTGCCCCACGCAGCAGTTCTACTTCATGCGCAACTCTGCGCCACTAAACGATGAGCTCCTTAAAGCAGCCAACCATGCCCGAGCTTCGACCAGCAGCAGCAGCAGTAGCAGCGAAAGCTCTCCACAGCTAAGGACCGCTCCTCGGTGCAGCAGTTCCACCCTTCTTATGAAGCAGTGCGCTCTAAGTACGGCCAAGAAACCGCTGATCTCTCTGCGCGTGCGCGGCGGACAATGCGCGACGACTTCCAATATATACTTGTCAAGTGACGATGCTGAAGCGATGCACAAAAAATGGCAGTTTCCCGAACCAAAAGCCAACCCATCGAAGTCAAATTCGCTTTTGGGAAAGCTAGACTCAATTTGGATGCTAAATAAATCGAATAGTTATTCAAAGACTGGCGAGGACAATGGTAAAAAAAATCATGTGCGGTTCGCTGACGATCCAGTCTTTATTTTTCCCCATGAGCCGGACTCGTTAGAGCCACAAAAGCCTCTAAAATCCATCTCTCTATTAACTAATAAGTTTATAAGTCATACTGATCTTGAGACTGAACAGCAGCGCTGCTTAAACCTAATGCATACCGATTCATTAAAGCGTGATAGCTCCGTGGTACGAAGAGACTTGAATCATCTGTTGGAAAGCCTAAATCTAAACGATAGATATGAGGTGGAGGACAGCAATCTGCAGACGCAAGTCACTCTACTAGAAGATGAACCGTCAGACCTTGCCACTCCTGATGATTCGAAGGGCTTGGAACACCTAATGTCGCGTTTAAACATAAAGGGCTGCACAGATACTGTAAACAGCAGTATGGAAATGTCCACAGAAAACGAAGTTTCAAATCATCATACCCCCTCAGTTGGCCAAACGAATTTGGAGCAAATGTTCTCGGATTTGCGCATTGCGGATTGCAACAAAACTGAGGACAGCAGCATGGAAACGGAAGTTACGCCACTGAGAGCTGACGATGGACATGATTTTGAGATAAAGGAACAGCCCGATGGGGTAGGACACTATGTAGTTTTAAGTGAAATTTCAAACGATTTGCCTGTAAATCTGACAAATAAATTAAACGATGATGAATGCTATCCAAAAGGCCTTTCTCCTGGGAAGCAAGAATGCAGAATTCATAAGCTTGCTATGGAGAAGCTGGTAAGGAAGCCTAATGGGAAGCTATCAAAGCAGCTAAGCCCCTCCATGTGGTCGCAATTCGTAGATTTGTTTACGCCACGCAAGAGAACATCGTGTAATAGGTGTGGTATGAAAAAATCAAAAGAAAATAGCACACTTTCCACAAAAATCTGTCCAATTGTGCCAAAAAGAAATCAATGTACATCAATAGAGTTGTCTGATGCAAGAACAGTTGCCCCAAAGACCAGCTTATATAGTTTAAAAATCGCGACAGCAAGAACAAACATACGCACTCCGCCGCCAAAGAAAATTAAAATAGCTGCCGAACCAGCAGGTAGTATGTTCCATAAGCAAGAAAGGACCAATGGATCGAAAGAGCTAACACTTTCGAGCACCAAAATAATTGCAATTGAGAAACTGGCAGACTGCCCTACAAAAAATCAACGATATTGTGAAAGGTGTGGTATTACAAAAGTAAACTATTCACCAATTAATTGCGGAAATAATCAGCTTAAGCAAGCTCGTAACAAACTTGCCCCCTCAAGCAGCAAAGGATCTGCACCCTTGCTCCTAAATGTTGCTGCACAAAAATCTAAACCAAAGGATACAGCTAGAAATCTATGCCCAGAATCGAGGGGGTACAGGGAGAAAGCGTTCCGTAACGAATACAATCCTAAACAAGCTCTAAACAATTTTCCGACTCAAGGCGCATTAAGAAGTACCAAAGGATTACCTCCAGTTACGCCTTTGCACAACAATATTGCTGCCCAGAGGGAAACATCTCAGGATAAAGCACGAAATCTCTACCCAGAACGTCCTAGTACTACACAAAAAGGTTTAACAGCGAATGGGGTTGCGGAGAACGCATTCCAGGGCTTAAACAGAAACAACGAATATAAACCTACGACCCCAAAGAAACTACTCAAACAAAAAGACATTCAGGAATTCTATACGAAACAAAATAAAAATGCGTCTAAAGTGTTTCCAAATCATAAGTTGAGTATTCAAGAACCACAACCAAAATATTTCGAACAATGCAAATCAAACCGGACCAGAAGTCCATCCGAAACTCCTTCAGAACTACACTCGGGTGCTTTACTCTGTACAACAGATTCAAATGAGACGAGCACCAACGAAAGCTATCGAACCTGCCCGGATTCAGTGGCGATGCCCCAAAAAGATGCGGAAAAAGCATATCCCGAGAAGTACAGTTTTACAAAAGTAAAAATGAATCGGTATCCAACCACTGCCACAGTGAAGCCCAGAACTGTGAAACCGCCAAAGCCGCTTAAAAAGAGGAAATCCCTGAAGGAAATGAAAACGAAACCCCTAGAGACACAAACCTGGCACTTTGTCAAAATTATTGAGACGGTGCACCACAAATGTACCGAAATATTTTTCCCCAAAATGTTGGCCTTTGTCAGGGATATAATATCCACAACGGCTACTGCGACATGGCAGTACAAGGAATACATTTCAGGTGAGTCCACCTTAGATTTTTATGAATTCCGTGCACCGGACGTATGGCTGAACGACATTAAGGTTGACGAAGCTGAAAACGATCTTAAAAACAGAGCCCGCCAGTTAGGCAGATATTTACTAAAGCAACAACAGAACCGTCAAATGGAGCAAACGGGCTTTGAGAATGAACTATTCGAGACTTGGATGTCGGCAGATAAACGGAGAGCGACTATGGTGGATAAGGAAACTCAGCTAGGGTCGGATTGTTCTTCAACTTATCAGGTACCTGGAAAGAGGACGAAACAAGACCAAAGTAAATGCAGGAGTCGTAAGAAATCCAAGCCTGAGGCTCCTGTTTGGCCCGCACATCCATTTAGGCACAAAAAACGTCGCGTCACTAAAGTAGCATCCAGTGTTGGCTCCTACGCTTCCGATGAGGACGACGATAAAGACACCTTTGAGAGTAGTCGAGTACAATCTATTCCCGATTATAAATTACCTGATAGTTTTAAGAAGCCATTGCAACTCATTACGACCGATGTACGCCTATCAATGACGAAGACCTTGCAGAGTGTTAATAATAAGGGCATACATGGTTTAGAACCAGCCGAATACACACGCCAAGAAGACTCCTTTGATGATAATCGACTTAGCGCCACACCGGACAGCATTTCGGATCCTGAATCACCAAATACTTTTAAAAAACCATTGCAGCTGATTTCGACAAATGTACGGACGTTCAAGATTTCAAAAAAGATTTTAGAACCGATCCAATACACACCCCAAGAGGACAACTATAGCTTGCTGCAACAACAATTAAAAGAGAGCATGTTGAAACCCATTCACCTAATAACGTCCATTGGGGTTACTGTGCCCAAAAGCGCGAGGCCCGCAGAGACCATTAGACCTACAATTAAAGCTTTCCAATCAGATGGAAGTAAGACGCATTTGCTGAGTGAAATCATCCCCGCACCAGAAACTATGAATGGCCAACGATTTCAACAGAATTTGCAAACCTCGAGTTGGCAAATGATAGCTTTGGAGGCCACATCGGAAAGATTTGAGAACAACATTAATTCATGTCAGCATGCATGTCCTGTCCATAACTGCACAGCTCTGCTAGGTCCTGATACATTCTCCACCCACTTCATTCAAATGCACAGATACAAAGGCACTTCCCTACAAGAGTCCTACCATCGGGTACTGCAGGGATATCCCCGACAATTCACATTCGACAGCCAACACTTGACTGAAGAGAATAGCTTTATAGCTCTCTTAATCTACAGCCGAGTTACGAATGGGGGGTAAGCTTACACGTGTATAAGACTCAATATTATAATCTTTCCTACCTGTATGTAGAGAGCAGTCTTCAAGTCTGCATGACCAGCCTTACGTTTTGATAGGTGCCTTTGGCGAATTTCCGAACCTCTCTTTAAACCAGGAGTGTTCCCTAGCGATGGTTTTCTGGTTGGTTGGGTATACTACACCAGTACCACTGAACGCTACGTTAACAGTGCACAGTCCTTGTAATGGTGTAGGACGTAGCAGAAATATTCTACCTATAGGTGTAAATGCAACGCAAGATCCACGTCGGTTTGTTAAAGGATCCAAGGACTATTTTTTACTCAGAACATCAACAAAAAACCATGGCCTTTTACAGATCAGCATAGTTATGAAGGAGCAAAGCGAAGCGTCGGAACTCTTAGGACATTAGACATAATTACAAGTAAGTTATTCTTTTCAAAGTTCCTAAACAGACCTCCACATCTCGAGGCGACGCATTTCTCCAACTTATTATTATCAAAACCAACTCCGCTTTAACGCACCATCAATCTTTTTCTAGGCTTTTTGCACTCAGCCCTCAATCTTGGCAACATACTATACTGGTTCATCGAAATATTCTATGTCTATCAATAGAGATATTGGTGGTTATGTCGATGTCGGCATTTATAAAACAGCACACATTAAACATATTTCAGGTTATACTTTAGACTACACTAGAAGAATTCTATACATAGTTTACTTCCTTACAGTTTCTAATCTATGATCAAACAGACAAATTTATGTATTGTGGCACCCAATTCGAAATCAGCGCAAAAGCTAGTCAAAACCTACCTCAAAAACTGTTTTTAGAAAATTTATTTAGTCGTTAAATCGTCGTTTTAGTCGGGTAGTGTTATTTACAAAGATTAATTGTATTGATTTAACAATATTCTATCATTAAATCGGAGAACTTATTTAAATGGCTAAACTTTTTGAATTATCTCCTTTTTTATAGTGAAACATAAGATGTCTGAGTCACCGAAATTGAAAAAGAAGTGCCCAACTTTGCATCCAATTCGTGTCCGATTTCGTAACCCAGTGGCTGAATTTCTCAGTGCATGTGCCACTGTGACATTTTGGTTTGTCTACTGGATAGCACGATTTATTATTTTTGTAAGTTAGGAAATTAATTAATTAATTATACTTGCATAAAAAATCAAAAATATCCTTTACAGCAAATGGTATTTAGAATTCGCGTTAAGTTTAAGATATCAAAACGAGTCTTGCACAATTACTTTCGGTTATGATACGTACTGATAAAATTACTGATTAAATTATACATATTCCGATTTCAATACCGAACATTAAACGGTTTTAAAAAAAGTAAAAAGAATTGTCATTTTGAACTCTAAGATTGCGGTTACGGTTCCGCGTTGATTTACGGCTAAATGTTTTAATTTCAATAAACGTTAACTGGTTCTTTAAGAGTAAATTTCCGAGAATGTTTCGGTTTTGGCATCAAATAATTGCTAAGTTTAAATTCGTAAAATATTTTAAATCAGCTCTCTATTTATGGACTCTTTAACGTATTTGCAGGGCGCTGCCTGTACTTTAATATTTGGTTTACTGCTTCCACGCCATGCCTGGTATTTACTGAATCATACGATGGATCAATACCATATCGAACGGCACTTTAAGGACGAGCTGTAACGTATTGGACAGTTCATTAGGAATTATCATGTATATTTTTATAAGATTTTTTATGTTCAATATAATAATAAACTCCGTTTGTTTCTGTGTTACTCACATTATATAATTGCCTAACTTTATTACTTTAATAATTAATTAAATTGTTTACACTACTAATTTCATTAAATGTTTAGTTTGTTGTCGGTTTTAATTACATTTAAAGTTAATGATCGTACATTAAATACATAATACATATGTATGTATGTGTGTATACATATAAATATATAATTATGCATACCATAAACGTTATTATCAATCGCAACGCATTGCTTGCAGTCAACGAAATCGCGAGCATTAACAAAAATGTAAGTATATATCTTCTGAGAAAATTATTTGCACACTTTAAAACAGTTAAGAACGATTTTGCTAAAAGTGAATAACAAAAACTTTTCAATAATAGCACAGAAAAGCAATCATAAAAGCATAATTATTGCACACAAAGATTGTGTTGTAATTCTTTGTCAGTACGAAATATAACAACGTTTTGCTTGTTTTTTTTTCCAGGCACAATTCAAATCGAATTAATATAAAATTCATTATTTGCTGTCTGCGAGGACACTCGTAAAATGAAAAGCCATAGATTCTGTTTGGAATTAACATGTTTTTTTTTGTTTTGGTTTTCCCCTATTCTCACTTCCTTATCAATAAGCTTAATAAGTGGATGTGTGTGTGTGTATATATACGTTTATTTATTGGTTTCTGTGAATCGCCATTGCCACTTATTTAGTTTCCCGCAACATTTTGCACTTCACTTGAACTAATTATCTCATAATCTTTGCTCGAGCTCTCCGATTCGGACTCCGAGTTACGTGGTGTGCTAGAATATACAATTTAAATAAATATATATATAAAAGATAAAAATAAATGTTGCTTTGCATATTTTATTAATTTCATTATTTCTATTAATAAACCAAAAAGTAATTATGTGTGGGTGGTAGTTTGTGAGTGAGATTCTGTGTCTGTGTGTGTGTATGAAAAATCAAAAAGCATAAACTTACTCAGATATTTAGTGGATTAAATCTTGACTTTCACACACCATATAAACCCCAGTGGCGGTGCAAGTTGTGGCTCTCTTCATTTTTAAGACCAAACTCAACTGAACTTTCCATATCATTTGCAAAATATAGATATAGAAAGCTTTAGTGTATGCAGACGCCGTATTATTTAAAACTATTTTTATGTCCTTCTTTCCAAAAACTATTCTTCTTATATAAGGTTCGTAACGGTTTAGGATATCTTAAGAAATAAATCATTTATATCTGCTAAGACTGCATTTGGTAAGCATAAAAGGTACCTCAGTCAAAAGTTGAATTATTCTTACAAGTTTTGTAATAAATTACAAATTTTTGAATAGATTTGTGATTTAAAAAGCCATTTAACACAAAATATTTCATTCAGTGATATTTGTAAAAATTTTCTATTAATTAACTTTCATTATAAATTTTGAAATTATCTAAGGGTTTTTTAAACAATTTTTGGGTTGGACAGAAATCATTTTATTGTGGCAATATTTTATTTTAATCGCACCTAATTAATAAAAACGAAAAACTATAGAAAATAGTATCCGATGCTTTATAAGATTAAAAAAAACTTTCAACGGATAACTAATTCGATATTGTTTCTAACTCATTACTTCCTATAATTCTTTGCACCCTTTCCTAATAAACCATTTCAGATCAATTAATATATCTGAAGAATGTTTAAATATATTAAGATTAACATATATACAACTTATGGAAAACAAATTCGAACTTTGTTCGAAACTCTTGTACATCGCCTTATTATTATTAATATTTTTAATCAAGAACTATCCCATTGATACCTTTTAGACCATTTACCGCTTTAATGAGATTGGCTTTATAAATGTGTTTGTATGTACATATGGTATGGACATTATTAATTATAAAATAAATTAATATGTAAGTAATGGTTAAGACAAACAAATAAAATGAGTAATTCAAACATATGAAACGAAAAAAAATTGAATGCATTGAAATCGTACAATATATTATTTATTAAGGAACAAAATTGTTACAATTAGCAGCTATAGTTATTTTGACTTGCACTTGTTGACGAAATTAAATTTTTGTATAACAAAATACCCAAGGAAATCATGAGCAAGTATTTAAATAGCATAAAATGAGATTCGTTGCAAAAAGCGGCCAGCTTACCCAGCTTTGGTGTCCTTTGTCTGCTTCTGCGATGCACTGCCCTGCGAGACGTCGTCCTCATCATCGTCATCCTCGTAATCGTCGGCGCCAATTTTGCGACGCTTACGCACCTCCATGTCGGCATCATGCTCTTTGATTTGCTCAATTTTTTCTGGCTCCAAGGGCGTAGCATCCACATCGCCGTCGGCATCGGCTTCGATATCTGCATCGGGATCTTGTTCGGCATCAACTTCGTGATCAACGTCAGCGGCTGTATCCTCCTCGGCATCGCTGTCTTTGTCCTTTTTCTTCGACTTTGACTTTGACGATTTCTTGTCGGTTTTGCCAGATGTGGCAGTTGTATCACTCACATAGTTGCTCTATTTTTTAAACATGATTTATGTTATACACAACACATTAAGCTAATAATATTCACATACATACCTCATAGAGTGGCCAGAACGAAGCAAAGAAGCCCACATCTTCGGTCAAATTTGGAAAGATCCAGAAATGCAATTTTCCACCGGTCAGTGCCCAAACAATAGTAAAGACTATTAAACGCAGTACGGTTAGGCCCAAGATGAAGACCAAAAAGCCAGCGGCCGCAATGGACAAATAGTAGACACCCTTGCGCAATAGTGGAGGCCAGAGGGGGAACAGGCAGATACCGACCGCACCCAGCAACAATATTAGTCCAAATATCCAGTAGTGCAACGGAATAGGATCATATATCCACACATATGCCTCAGAACCATCCACAAAAATTTGCTCGGGATGCATATCCAAACGGATTTTGCGTTTCTTTTTCTCCTTCTTATCAGCTTGCACTGTTTCGTTGCCATCGCCTTTTCCACTATCTGCCTCATGATCGGCATCCTTTTTATCATCCTTCGAGGATTTTTGCTGAGCCTTGCTGTCTCCAGACTCTGACTTGTCCTTTTCTTTGTCCTGCGACTTCTTATCACCGTCCCTCTTATCCGCCTTACCACGTATCTCTTCCACTGTTACGGGCACTTTTTTGGCCCGATGAAAGAACTTATGCTCCAACATAACATCCAGAAATTCCACTGCCTGCTCGCGTGTGGTAAACAGTGCTTGATCGCCTTCGGCGAATTTTGATTTCATTAACGCATCAATGGCCTTACTGGATGTGAAATACTCGACAATGTGACTTAAAAATTTTGTTTTCTTTGTTTTGACGTTCTTCTTCAGCCATTTCGCAACATTTTTCTCATCTTTTGAGGGCTTCTCAACCTTTTGCTGGCCAGGCTCAGTGTACTCCTAGGGGTTAGTTAAGATTATCATATTAATAGTTTACCATTTAAAATGCTTCCTAAAATTAAGAAAAGTAATAAACAACACAGAAAACAGCCAATATAGGCCACGACACCAATTTCCGATTTCGTCACACTACACAATATAAATATAGACATGTACATATGTATGTACACGAGCGTCCCCGTCCCCTCCATAATAATACCGTGCCATCATCAAAGATTTCCTGCTCCTCGTCGTCCTCCTCATAAATTTCGTTGCCAGATAGATGCTCATCATCGGACATTTTTATTGTTGATGTTTTTCCAAATGCGTAGTCGGTTTTAGTCAATAAAACGTCTTAGTCGATGTATGATGTATGTATGTACTTGTATATTATTTTTCTGAGCTGTGAGTGACGTGTTGCAATCGGTACGAGAGTCTAGAAAGTATTGGCTGCCTGGTCAAACAAGTGGCGATCACAGCAGCAACTACACAGCTGGCGTTGTCCATACATACACACGTATGTATATGTGCAAGTATGTATGTAGGTAACTGTGGTAGAAACTTTCCCCAATAGCAACAACTGCAATATAAACATCAGAGCGCCAAGTGCTAAAATCCCGCATCATACACACAAGCATGTACATACACACACGTGCAGGGTATGTACATACATATGTATAATAAACAAAGCCACTGATAAGTAGTAGCACTTGTAGAGCAGACAAGAGAGCGCGAGATCGTAAAGAACACATACATATGCACACACACATTCACAGAAAAAGATAACTTACAACGTTGACTTGCTAATGTGTGTTAAAGCCGATCTCACAGAAGCAGGGTTGCCACTTTCTCTGAGTCACTGACAGCTGTTCCAACTGGTTGGACAAAGCTGCGCAAATATGTGTAATGTGGATTAACGGAGGACGTCATTTAGATTATTCCATATAAAAAGTACTCCGATGCACTTTTGCAGCGGGGGGCATCGCAGAGCCAATACATATAAGAGACATTAAACATAGCATACAAGCCCTGCACCCACACCATGGGACATATTGTAAAAAACAAATTTGGCCCCCCACTCACACATATACACAAACGCATGGCATTTAAATTATCACTGTGCTATCGGCTGATAGGTGCGCAAATTATGTGTTTATTGTTGCTTGACATTTTTGATGATACTGAATTCCAAATCATAACAAATACAATGGTCAACTCAATTGCAGAAGCTCACGCAAACATCAACAGATACACATACACGCGGCAGGGCACAACATAAGTACATACATAACACAAACTGTTTTTGTCCGAAGCCAAATTTATGATTTAAAAACAACTTACATCTTTGCGACGACGTGCCCGTCTCTTTTCCGACATTTTCCTTTAGTCCAGTCACAAATGTTTGGCTAATTAATTTATATTTAATATTTTTGCCACACAAGCACAAAGACCAGCCTTCGGGATCAAGCTGTTTGGGATTAGGTATGCGAGAAAACCGTCGATGTAGCTTGTCGATATATTTTTCGATAGAAAGACCGATTTATTGATATCTACAAGCAACTGTTAAAGAACTAGTATATTTCCGACAATTACTTGTTAAACGAGCGCAACAAGCGACAATAAATTACTTAGTAATATTGCTGCGTTTTTCATATTATAGGTAAGCCACTGTCAGTTTAATTGTAATTGTTACAATTCCCAATTAAAACTGACTAAAAGTACATACTGGCATTTCCAGATAAGCTTACTTTTCCCGAACTGAACACTACATGCATGTTTATGTAAATAAAAGATGAAATAAATCACTAGCATGAGTTATAATAGCAATACATGAAATTACTACAAATACTAATAATTTAAAGAGTTGCATGCAGTTATTGAAATACGCACTTAGCAGTGTGACCACATGTGCCAATTTTGAAAATAAAATTGATTTGAAGTTGATTTTGTCGGACAGCTTTTCACAGATTCATCATTGGAATTCTGCAATGAATCAAGACGGCAACGAAGTACACCTAATTCTGTTTTTACACGGTAGATTGGTTCCAGAAAAAGTCGTGTACAAAAAAACCGTGAAAAGAAGACATTGATACGTTATTTTGAATGGAATAAAGTCGTGCAACTATCTACTTGTATAAAATTTTTAATTTTCAAAGCGTCTTAAATGAAAACCGTGTAAAAAAGACAGTGTAAAAACAGAATTAGGTGTACTTCTAGAATGCTGGAATCGAGTGGGCTCAACCCTTAAATACTCCACAAACATAGAAAAATGTAAATATTTTTAAAATGAATTCTTTTTAAATATATTATTCATATTTTATACATTTTGTTGGGTCTGCCACGGCTCCTTCTGTTTGTGTTATACATATTCATACATACTATACTATACTTAACAAGTATGTATGTGCTTTTTGGATGTTAAAGTTACGCGCACATCGAATAAATCTGTAACTCCCAAATACTACTAGCCACTTGGACCCCAGTTAAAGCATATAAGTTGTACTATTTAATAGTCCTGCCATTTATTTTTACCTTGTAACGTAATCTAACCTACAGGTGTACCGCACACCCAATCCATTATAACAACTTCAAATAAGAACTGTATAAAAGAACTTGCTAAATAAGTTATAACAAAAAGCCATGCAATATCGTAAGTCCGAAATGTGGAACTGTCAGGATCATGGTCGCGTTCCATTGACTCGGAAGTGCTGCGTCCCAAATAGACCGCAATTATACAGAACGTGACTGCGGTTTTACTTACAAAAATACAAATGCGTTCGAAACGAGTCAATCTGTAATAATTCTGGGTTTCGCGCCAACTGCCACTTAATGGCTGCCACAGGCTCCAATTAATAAACAAGGTCTCATAGTGCGTGCGAAAACGTTTGCACCAGCTACCCAATATCCTTCGATCTCCCAAACGAAATATCAGAGATGAAGACAACACTAAAATCTTGTTTCGCACCCAACTGCGCACTTCAAACACCTGCACCTCCTGGGTCTGCAAGTCCCGAACCTCAATGCGCCGCAAATACCAGCTAGGACGCATTCCGTGGTTACTGTGGGAGACGGCAATTTTAGTGGGTATACGAATATCTCGTGTTCGCAGCCATAAGCAGTGAGTTGAATTCATTCTAAAGACAGGATGGTGGGGATCCTGATAGACAGTAAACTGAAGCTCTGTATGATGTTTTGTGAGAAACGATAAATACACATTGGCCGAAGTATCTGCAGATTCTCTACCGCCCGTTCTGATATATACCAGAACATCGTGCACATCTCCAGTCGACTTTTCCTTCGTGTTTAGCTCGCAATATACTACTTCAATGCCGGGTTTGTTGCAAAAAATACGCAGCACAATTAACCAGAGCAGCAGAAACACCATTACAACTATATAAAAAGTAACCACACTTGGATTAGTAACTGCTTGGGAGAAGGCTGCTATAGGCACCGGAATGGCAGGTACATAGTATACATAACTGGTATAAGTACTCATTATTGTGCAGGTGCAATGTAATCCATCCGTTAAGCTATATTTCATTGACGGTAGGCACATATTAGGCGACCATTTTTGATCATCCTCTTTCAGACTGTACATCCAATAGTCGCAGGAACGAAGCTGGAACACAAAAGCGTAGCTCACCGGTCCATCGGCCAAAAGTGTATGTACACCTTGGTCATCAAGTAATTTTTCATTCGACCACGCCCGTATGGCCAGATAGATCTTGTATGGCTTTGCGCACTTGTTACGCATCAATATCGTCTTGTTGGTCGAACCTGCAGGTACGAAACACTGGGACTTTTGAATGGCAGAGCGCATGGGGAAATTTTTGGGATGCAAAAACACTCGTAATTTATGTGAAGCGTTTTCGAAACGCACAGCCAGCATAGAGCTCGCTTCCAAAGTGATTCGAAAGACATGAACATCCTGTAAAAAATGCAGTGTTCCAGACTCCAGACAATTACTGAATTTTCCAACATCGGAAACGAGTTCATCTTCATCGTGTTCATGGGCTAGATGACGCGGCTGCGCCTGTAGTAGTTTATCAGGGAACTTATGAACTAGACTTTCATCCAGCTGTAACTTATGAAAATCATCGGTCAACGACATCATCGTCTTCATATCGGTCGATATCTTTCCTTTTTGCCACATCTGTTGCTCTTCAGCCATCGCAGGCTTGTACTTGCCGACGATGGTAGTGAAGCTGATCGTGCTTCTTTTAAGCTCCACCTCTTGCTTAAAATCATCGACTCCTTGATACACTCGCACCGTCAGCAGAGTCGAACTAGGCTGTCTTTCCTCTGGATACCACCAATTCAGCTCTCGAGTAACCGAGATTACTTTTAGACACATAATATTGGAACTCGTTTTCTTCAGCTCATCCAAAAGTGCCGCTTCAAAGGTCACACGATGCATACTATCGCTTGTAGCAATCTCATAATCTTTCCCAGGAGGAAATATTGCACACTGTTCCTCGAGGGACACGCCCTCTGACACAACCACACCCAATGAGGAATCACCCTGCATTTCATTTTTACGTGCATAGTCCAGGAATTCATATAAACGCTCTGTCTCCCAATTAGTTTCCAACCAGACGAGGGAGCGCATTTTGACTTTTTCATCATCAATAGAGTTTATCTCCTTTCGAAGCTCTTCAACAAGACTTTGTGATAGGGGGCCCTTCATAAACTTATTATAAATTGACTTTGGCGGTCGCGGCAAGTCTTTGGCCAGGCGACTGATCATATTGTAAGTGGAAATGCATTTCCGTGTTGTAGGATGAAATGCCGATTCCGCCAGATAATAGGCCATGTCGTGCTTAGTGATGGTTTCAAAATTTTCGTTAACTTCTCTGACTGCTGCCGCGAGCACCTGTGCTTCTTCATCATCGATGGGCGACAGGTTGATAGCTAAAGCCATTGTCATATTTGCTAGTAGGCCCAACGTAAGAACTGTTCCCGACTTAAAGTCCTCAAACATTCGCATTACCTCAATGGCGGCATCATTTGTGTACACACGGCCGGCCACTGCAGATAAAATTGCAAGCCCCTCTTCGTGCTTGCCTAAACGGAACAGGTTCTTCACATCGTGAGGCTCCGTAGTGAGAAATTTATAAATTTCACTTGGCTCAGTCGGTATATTTTCTGCTGGGCGCACTGTCACATCTAGCGACCGCTCCGTGCAGGCAAAAAAGCTGTCACAAATAAGCACTTTGATTTTTGAAATTGGCGGTAAATGGGATTCACAAGAACAATCGTAGCAGCTTTGAATCAACACATTATTTGCATAGTAGAAGTAATCAATAGGGATGTTTCTGTCCACCCAGCCAGTGCAGCATACTATGAAGGGTGTGGCGTATTCATCGCCCACAGTGGGTGCCACAGTGCACCGACCTTGGCTAGGGCCGTCATTCCTGGTCAAAAATTTAATCTCAACACCAGTGCGGCCATCTGATGCGCGCACCAGTAACTCGATTCGTACCAGCGAGTTCGTGCCTATCTTCATTCGCAGTTCTTTCTGCTCCAGAGCGACCATTTCTCCTACAGTCCATTCGTAACCAATGCGACCTCCTCCACAATTCGCGCAATAAGCGCGAAGATAAACCTTTTCATCTGCATTATATAGTTCATTCTCACAATTGCTTACACAAATGATTTCCACGTCAAGCTTTTGCTCATTTGAAACAGTAATAACCTGCCCAGCGATGTCGGCACGTTCTGGATCGTCATCGGCTGCAACACGAAGCTTGAAATTATAATGATATCCCACTCTAAATGCGTAGGCCGGTATTGAGATTACGGCCGCTGTGAATGTGTTGATCGGCTACATTTAATCTGTCAATTAACGCTGTGTATGTAGACTGTTTTGAACTCACTCTCAGGAAATGTTTTTCTGCACTCCCTATTACTGTAATCATCCCATGATATGCATTTCCAATTATACGCCTTAAACTGTTCGACATTAGGCGGCTTGGAGAAATCCCGACTCGTTGTTCCATTCAATTTGAATGGTTTTGTGCGGTCGATCGTTCGATATTCGCCACCTCCAATATTAGCGTCAACAGCGGCCATTATAACATTGATATAGCAATGGCAATGGACGACCCATGAACCAAGTTTAGCTTCCAATCGCACGGTGTACAAATTTTTCCATAAGTCAAGGTCTTGGTGAAACCCCAAAACATATTTTGGTACGGCCCATTCCTGCTTCTCAGTCTCACACTTAGTAAACTCTTCTGTAAGAAGATAATTAAACACATTTCTGTTTTACTTTTTTGTTTTGATTTCATTTAAAGCTGATATTCTCACCTAACCCTATAGGGTCTAAAACTTTCCATGTGAACAGCTCATGATCCTGTTCACAGTCTTCAACAATTATAGCCGATACAAAAAAAACATCTGCGATGTCAACCTTAGCGGGATCTTCCGGATTCGCGCATTTTTTCATTCTTAATTGCGGGATACAGTCATCATTAATGTCGAATGAAATGTCCAGTTTCATTTCATTAGTTTCGGGGTAATGTTGAAAGGTTGCAGTCAGAAATAATGCTTCATCTTTGAGATTCCAGAATGTCGCTGGGACTACTGCATATTGACCCGTTTGATAGGCTACTTTTCTCTTGGTCTTAATTCCAACAGTTTGTAATACTTTGCTAATGCTTTTGGTTTCTTTCCATTTTGGTACCGCAGGATTGGTACTTTTTCCCATTTTGAAAAACGCCAACTGGTAACTATTAGTATGAACGCGAACAATCATCACAAAATTATTGGGCCAGTCGCGAATTGTAAGCATTACGTTGGTCGGCTTACCAATCTCTAAAACATCATTTGCGTATATATTTAACCATTGAAATTTATTTAATTGTCCATTCGCATCTCTATTTAATGCCATTAAGATCAGAAATAAAACGGGAAACCACATAATCTTCTCTTCAAAATTAACTCTGATTTTGTCTATCGTTCCTTTTTATGTATGGCAAGGCATACTACGTCTTTTATTTGTAAGGACTAAGTATCCAATAGCTTTCTGTCTGTATTTGTGCGACCAAGCTTTATCAAGTAGTAATCGTCCGTCAATGTAGGAAAGGACCTTCGGAGACCCTTCGACACCATTCGTGGTTTCAGGAAAGGTGACGCCCTCTCGTGCTACCTCTTCAACTTTCTGCTGGAGAGTGTGGTGCGCAAAGCTGGTGTAGGAGGGGACGTCGCCGGACCATTTGCGGCTATTGAGAATTAAGATGCAAAAGTGGGTTTGGTGATAAACGAAAGCAAAACGAAGTATATTTATATTAAGCAGGGACACGCGGCAAGCAGGCGCCCAGATCGCGGTGAAAAACTATACTTTCGAAATGATAAAACATTTCGTGCTGGTCGGCCCTACCGTTACACCAACCAACGATGTCAGCCTGGAGGTCAAACTCTAACCAATCGACACTACTTCGGCCTCAGTAGGCAATTAAGTAGCAGAGGCCTCTCTCGAAAAACAAATTTAACACTCTACCACACGCTCATCCTCCCCGTGAGGATAGAGCAGAAGCATGGGTGATATCGCAGACCGATGCAGCAGCTTTTGGAGTATTCGAGAGAGAGAGAGAGAGAGATGCTGCGGAAGATCTTCGATCCCATACGCGTTGGCGACGACTACCACATACGATGGAACAACGAAATGTACGAGCTCTACGCCGATATTGACATAGTCAAGCGAATAAACATCCAGCGGCTAAGCTGACTTTGCCGTACGTATGGATGAAGAATGTTGGGGGAGACGAAGCACTGTGGAGCCATGAACGCTTTGGGGAATATGAAAACACGTATCTAAAATTCAATTTCCCAGAGATTAAGAAAATCGTAGTCTTAGAGAAATCGGAATTACTTTCTAAATATGTTCCAGAGATATTCCTTTACCTAACCCTAAAAACATTCATCCACGGGTATAAGAAGAATGCATAACAGGTACATTCGATGTAACAGCTATTAGGAACATTGTATTTTGCATTATGGATACAAAAATATACCTTAGCGGTCCTATTTGACCCATATTTAATATTGTGCAACCAAAATGCTAGTGTAATATAAAATATGAGGAGAAGGGCTTACAAATTGTGATTTTTTTTGGTTTAAAGTATATGAACAGACAAAAAGGGGTATTACTTTGTTATCTTAGGTATACGTACAGAAATGGTATATATTACACATGGTGCAGCGCAATCGTCTAGTTTTGACTTTAAAAGCAGTCAGTTGTCTATAATAAGCAGTGAATAGTATTTCTAAATATAATTCACGGTTCTTATTTAAAAAATTTGGGTTTTTTTTAACATGGCTCTGCATAATGCAAAATGTAATAATAAAATAATAACTTCAAATATTTTTTTATTTTTAAATTTAAAAAAAATTCTCAAATTCCAAGTAAATTTGCTTGATGAAAATATCTTTATCCGTTCAAGACATATGCTTTTTGCAACGAAAAAAATCAGAAGGCCCCACTGTGCGACGGCGGGGGAGACCTTGTCACCGCAGGAGGGACCAAATAGAGGACGCATTTTCCACCTGCGGAGTGACTTTATTGAACTGGAGAGAGCTGAACAATTTTGCATTAGCTTTACTGGTTTGTCACATGACCGAGAGATACAATTATACGGTAAGAGTATCTTTTATTGAAACAGAAATACAGAATTTGTTAACCCGGTTTACAGTCTTGCAATTTTGACAAGCAAAATTTCATAGAAAAATTGAACTATACAACTGGCAAGGTAGCACACACAGGATAGGTAGATTATCTCAATAATAGGCAGCAACATCTTTCCACGTGTCTTTCGAAATAACATCTCCCGGTTATGTTCGCTATCTTTGCCAAAATAGAGGACAATGATGCAAACTGTTACGCCAAGCTTGTTAACAAAGATGCAGACGCGCTCAAAGCGCGAGAAACAGCGGTTGCCGAGATGCCAACGCCAGCTGCCTATAACTGGTTGAACTCCGAACCAATTGGTGCAATTGCGCTCCATGCTGCGCTTGAAACGATAGCACCATCTTCCCACGAATCTGTCTTGTTTGTCAATTATTTTGCCACGTGATACAACTGTGTTGTGCGTCCGCAACCACAAATGGATTTGGAATGACTGCGTTGTCTGGGTCGTTACGTCCTGTACAACCACACTGCTAAGGTACCAGGAGGAGTAACGTCCACCACCGTCATGATTAATTTGCAGCTGAGTGGGTAAACGTATGATGCGCGATCTTAAAATCAATGTATGGGTGGTATTTGTGCGAAGCTTGGGTCGCGTAGGATCCTGGGATATGGTGTAGCAAACCTGTTCATGCGTTGGCTGCACAAATCGTATCTGAACATTGGCCGTGGTACCGCTATTTTCACCTCCTCCCGTTTTTAGATGAATAAGAAACATATGTTCCTCGTTGCCTTCAAAAAGTTGTTGTTCCACCTCATCATCCGGCCTTGAGCATTCTAGCGCAATAAGCCTTTTGCTACAGCACCACACAAACAATATAAGTAATATTAATGACAACCAGAAACAACTGAAGATCGCAATGTAAATATTCCTGTTTAGAAAATCCGTCGAATGATTTATGGGCACTGGTATAATGGGTACATTGTACACATAGGCTGTATATGTGCTTAGGTATTCGCATATGCAAATTATTCCAGTATGAATATCAAGTTCCATGGCTGGCAGGCAGCCATACTGGGACCAATGCGGATCAACTGGATCATTGTACATCCAATAGTCGCAGTCGCGGAGCTGAAAAAGGAAATATATCTCAGCCGAACCGTTCACCAAATCATGACTATCGTTGGTGGCTAAAGCCAAGCCCATATAGGCTTTAACTGCTTTGGGGCATGGGTTACGAAGTAGCATAATGCGATCCGTTTCATTGGCGTAGACAATGCACGATGATGTTTTAATTTCGTCACGGAAAGGTTGATTCACGGTCTGCAACTTTACCACCACATCGTGAGTTGTATTCACGAAGCGCACGGCCAACAGCCCTTGGGCCTCAATGTTCACGCGATAGATCTTATATTCCCTAACTGAAGTGAGCTGGTCGCGTAGAACCATATTTTCGAAGACACCTTCCGTAGAGACTCGGTCAGCCGAGTGTTCATCGACAATACGAAATGAGGGTCCTAGATGTGGACGGGCAGGCTTACGGCGGTTTGGCATGGCAATTGATGATACAGGAGTCTTGGATCTACGAGTACATAGAGATATAAATAATACAAATTCGGTTTAATATTCCCAGCGTATTATTAGGGATATAATCGCTCACCTATTGAATTCCAATTCTGATTCACTAATAATGAATTCATTGGATTTATGGTAAACCAATGTAGGGCGGCTATTCCTTGAAAGTATATCTGGAGGACGTTCAATCGGCTTGTATTTACCAATAAGTGTAAGATACTCAAGTTTGTTATTCAGCTTGTGTGTTCCAATTAGTTCCGAGGAATTGGTAAAAGCGCGCACCTTCAGCAAACGCTCACTTGGTTGCCGCTCATCCGGGTACCACCAGTTCAGGTTACGTACTATAGATACCATACGGAAGCAAACGAAATGATCACTATTCAATTTATCTGACAACTCTTCCAAAAGCCCCACTGAAAAAGTCACCGCATTGATGTGATCGAATGATTTGAGAATATACTCTTTATATGTTTCAACACATTCCACGTCCATGGCAACGCCTATCGAAATGGTCTGACCATCATCATCGTCAAGTCCTAGACCCATCTCATTAGTGAAGAACAGATAGTTATACAGTCTATTCGCATTGTATGTGGCATTCAACCACATTTCAGTGCTAAGTCTCACATCCTTTTCTGGTATTTGTTCTATCTCCTTGCGTACCTTGGCTATATGTTCCGGTGTAAGCTTCGCATGCGGCTTGACCATATCAACGATGAACTGAGGTGGCGGAGGTAACTTGTCCGTAAGATTTTGGAACATACGTTGAATAAGAATGCATCTGACCGTAGCATTGCGAAATGGATATTCACGTAAATTGTCTATCTCGCCATTTTCTGTAATTTCTGCAAATATATGATTTATGGACTCCACGGCTTTTGTCAGCACACGGACACCGTCATCACTGATGGGATTCAAAGAGATGGCCAGTGACTTGGTTACATTGGCCAATTTCCCGAGTTCCAAGACAGAGCGCGGCTGATAATTATTAAAAAAGCGCAAGATAGTAGCTGCCTCTTTAACGCTCTTAATGCGCCTTGCGGCTGAATTAAGTATTATGTAGGCTTTGTTGCGATATCCTCTTTTAAACAGAACGGCCACATCTGTTAAGCCGGAAGACAGAAAGTCTTCCAGCGTCTGATTTGTCGTGGAACCAGTTGGTATGTACTGCTCCTTTACGTTGACCTCGACTGATACATCATTACACGCCTTGTAGTAGTCACAAACTCGTACTGTTATCGATTTAGCCACCGGCAACAACAGCTTCATACTTTCCGAGTAGAATACCTCCTGTATGACCTTGGCCGCGATAATGAAGAATCTTTTAGGGTTGTAGTTAGTCTTGAAATTCAGGCATTGCACATTAAACATAGTATCAAACTCTTGACCTGTTTCGGGCTCGATGCTACAGCCAGGGCCTACGGGTCCAAAATTTTTTTTAAGGACTAGTTTTCTCGTATTAGTGCGATAATCATGGGTCAGTCCTGATACTTCAATAATAACATTTTCGAAAGGTGTTCGTAGAAATACATAGAGGCGTTCGTCCTCAATCATTATCTCGTTATCAACGGACCATTGATAGTCAATTTTAGCATCTCCACAATCTAGGCAAACTGCCAATAGATCAACCTTTTCATTTGGATGGTAAACATCGCCGGCACAGTTTTGCAAACACTGTATATAAAAGTCCACTGTTCTGTATCTAACCACATTTAGCGTCTGAGTAGCGCTTGCGTTCTTACTATCAATAGAGACTTCCAAGGTGTACTTGTAACTGCAGCCCATCTTCAGCGTATACCTTGGAATACGTATTATGTTTGCTGAAAGATGTGGAAGACAAAAAGCAGACACTATTATTAACCAATTACTTAGGCCTCTTCCTTATTTAATACACACCATGACTCATATTTTTTTTACAGTACCAATTACTTTGATCGCAACTACTATAACAACTCCAAAGGAAGTCCAAGTTGCTGGAGTCTTCGCCTTCAGCCAATTCTCGGCTTAAGGAGCCATTGACATATATGACTTCGTAACGATTCACGTCCCGCTCATTACCTCCTACAATAACTGCGCTCACATCCCCTTGGACCAAGTCTATATAGCACTGTACCATGAATAATGGCATGGGAGAGTAGACTGCAAATTGTTGTATCCTAATGGACAAATGTACTTACGTGTCCTGCTTCTCTATCTGCGGCCACACGTATCATTATCGAATACTTATCGAATTTATGCACATTCGATGGTTTAATATTGAGTGCAAAGCGTTCTATTCGAAGTAATGGCACCCTGGACACTTCCCATTCTTTCAGTTTTTCTTTAAACACCATACTATTGAGAATTTCATGTTGCGACACACATATCTACTTACTTTTTCCGAGAATATCAAATGCGAACCAACGAAAAGAAATTTTAGTATTGGGACAGTAGTCCATGCTTGCCTCAAGTTCATAAAACTGAGCCACGGACGCAATAAGCGGCCTCGTTGGATCTGAGCACTCCCGAAATCTTGGATTGAGGAAGCAATTTATCGTAGGGTGATAAACCACAATTTTTGTTTGCTCGCCCGTAAAATCCGGTGACAAAATCTTTGAATAAGGCAACACATCCGCACGTAACATTAAACTTCCTTCAGTCCAAAAAGTACACTTAGATAAATGAATGTATCCCTTGGTATAGGGCAAGTTATAACTGCGATCTATTCCAGCTTTCAATAATTCACCTCTAATATCATCTGATTTTTTCCAAATTTTATGCTTATCGTTCTCGATGACATACAATTTGTTTACCAAGTAGTCCCGCTTCGAGGTAGTGACACGTACAATAAATTCGAGATCCGGAGGCAACATCTTAATTGTTATCACATAGGGTGATTTAGCTCCCATATAATGATAGTACTTTGAATAAATTCTTACATGCAAGGTGCTCAAATCTTGTGATTGTTGATATGAGATTTGAGGTAGCAGCACTAAAATCAGCCATAAACATGATTTTAGTGTGATCGACATATGGAATTTACGAATTTTCGCAGGGTTGTATTCTGCTGAAATATACTTAAATGCCTGCTCAGTTTTTTATAATCAATATATAACATTGGTTTTTTAAGTACACTTCACCCCAAACATTAAATTAACAAAATACTCGGAAAAACTGCTTCCTTACCATATAACCGGCATTTGCAAGACAGCTCTTAAAGGGACACCAAGCGAATCCGAATCCGAATCCTGTGTCCGCACAAGGACGCGGCTTTAGCACTTGTGACGACGGGAACACAATATCTCAAAAGCTTAAAAGCGTAGGGAGGGTACATTGTTCCTAAACCCCTTCACAAGAAAAGGTTTTCAGACCTGCAATAGAGTTTTATATGAAGGTAGCCTGCCATGTTTGGATTCCAAGCCCCCTTGGAATTTTCACGAGTACCTGCATTGAGATCCTTTAAATAAATTGCACAGTCGAGCATTTTATATACAAAACAATACCAGTGTATGGTTAAGATGAATATAAAATGTAAAATCTGCAAGCCATAACATTTGCCGGCCTTTGCAGAATGTTTAAATACACCTAGCCCTCGCTTAGCGCGGGGGTTACGTTCCTTGAAAACGTCGTGTTAACCGAAATCGCGTTAAACGAGCCATGTATTTCCATACAAAATGAGGGGTTACGTTCCTAGACTTCGAAAAATGCATACAACAATTTTTTAGTGTTTAAATTTATTAGTTTCAAAAACATAAAAAGGTTTATTCAAATGGCAACAGTTTTCAAAAGTAAAAAGAGAACACATATATATTAATATAAAACAAGATAGAACGCTACAGTCGAACAAGCCTGACAGTAAAATAGCCTGTACTCTCCACAAAAAAGGAAAATTTAAAAAAAAATTAAATTATTAAAAAAATGAATAAATTAATTAATTAATTAAATTAAATTAGAATACATGTTTATGTTCAGTTTTAACAGCATACATTTACATCACGTACCTATGCGTGTATGTATGCAGCACAAAGTTGAACCAAAGCAGCAACAACAACAACAGCTGCGGGCAGCGCTGCCGGCAGAACTGCAGGCAGCGCATGAGCAGCGATTTTACTTATGGCTATAACTTTCATCAGAATTGACCTACCGTCATGAAACTTGGCACACGGACACATAAGCACTAACTGGATGTAACTACCAAAATTGATTTCAAAATTCAAAGAATTACGGAAGTTATACAAAAAACACGAATTGCGGGGGAGTGGGGGGTGTATCAGAATCCTGAGATCCTTGCGCTCATACAGACGGACAGACGGACATGGCTATATCGACTCGGCTTGTCATTCTGATCAAGAATATATATACTTTGTGGGGTCTGCCACGCCTCCTTCTGTGTGTTACATACATTCGCACAAAACTAGTATAGCCTTTCACCCTTTGGGTACAGGTTATAAAAATGAAAATTCATTTAGTGGAATTTATAGCAGCTTTAGTAATTAACATTTTTTATATGGTTGCTCCCCTTGCGTGGCAACAAAATCTGTAATTATACCCTGTACCCAAAGGGTGAAAGGGTATACTAGTTTTGTGCGAATGTATGTAACAGGCAAAAAGAGGCGTGGCAGACCCCACAAAGTATATATATTTTTGATCAGGATGACAAGACGAGTCGATATAGCCATGTCCGTCTGACTGTCCGTCCGTCTGTATGAGCGCAAGGATCTCAGTAAGTACAAGAGCTAGGATAACCAAAATTGATATCAAGGTTCCTATAAGCCCTAGGCAGATCGAGTTTGTTTATTTTTTCTGATACACCCCCCACGCATGTCGCGCTTAGTTGGTTTCAAAATTTTCGTTAACTTATCTGACTGCTGCCGTGAGCACCTGTGCTTCTTCATCATCGATGGGCGACAGGTTGATAGCTAAAGCCATTGTCATATTTTCTAGTAGGCCCAACGTAAGAACTGTTCCCGACTTAAAGTCCTCAAACATTCGCATTACCTCAATGGCGGCATCATTTGTGTACACACGGCCGGCCACTGCAGATAAAATTGCAAGCCCCTCTTCGTGCTTGCCTAAACGGAACAGGTTCTTCACATCGTGAGGCTCCGTAGTGAGAAATTTATAAATTTCACTTGGCTCAGTCGGTATATTTTCTGCTGGGCGCACTGTCACATCTAGCGACCGCTCCGTGCAGGCAAAAAAGCTGTCACAAATAAGCACTTTGATTTTTGAAATTGGCGGTAAATGGGATTCACAAGAACAATCGTAGCAGCTTTGAATCAACACATTATTTGCATAGTAGAAGTAATCAATAGGGATGTTTCTGTCCACCCAGCCAGTGCAGCATACTATGAAGGGTGTGGCGTATTCATCGCCCACAGTGGGTGCCACAGTGCACCGACCTTGGCTAGGGCCGTCATTCCTGGTCAAAAATTTAATCTCAACACCAGTGCGGCCATCTGATGCGCGCACCAGTAACTCGATTCGTACCAGCGAGTTCGTGCCTATCTTCATTCGCAGTTCTTTCTGCTCCAGAGCGACCATTTCTCCTACAGTCCATTCGTAACCAATGCGACCTCCTCCACAATTCGCGCAATAAGCGCGAAGATAAACCTTTTCATCTGCATTATATAGTTCATTCTCACAATTGCTTACACAAATGATTTCCACGTCAAGCTTTTGCTCATTTGAAACAGTAATAACCTGCCCAGCGATGTCGGCACGTTCTGGATCGTCATCAGCTGCAACACGAAGCTTGAAATTATAATGATATCCCACTCTAAATGCGTAGGCCGGTATTGAGATTACGGCCGCTGTGAATGTGTTGATCGGCTACATTTAATCTGTCAATTAACGCTGTGTATGTAGACTGTTTTGAACTCACTCTCAGGAAATGTTTTTCTGCACTCCCTATTACTGTAATCATCCCATGATATGCATTTCCAATTATACGCCTTAAACTGTTCGACATTAGGCGGCTTGGAGAAATCCCGACTCGTTGTTCCATTCAATTTGAATGGTTTTGTGCGGTCGATCGTTCGATATTCGCCACCTCCAATATTAGCGTCAACAGCGGCCATTATAACATTGATATAGCAATGGCAATGGACGACCCATGAACCAAGTTTAGCTTCCAATCGCACGGTGTACAAATTTCTCCATAAGTCAAGGTCTTGGTGAAACCCCAAAACATATTTTGGTACGGCCCATTCCTGCTTCTCAGTCTCACACTTAGTAAACTCTTCTGTAAGAAGATAATTAAACACATTTCTGTTTTACTTTTTTGTTTTGATTTCATTTAAAGCTGATATTCTCACCTAACCCTATAGGGTCTAAAACTTTCCATGTGAACAGCTCATGATCCTGTTCACAGTCTTCAACAATTATAGCCGATACAAAAAAAACATCTGCGATGTCAACCTTAGCGGGATCTTCCGGATTCGCGCATTTTTTCATTCTTAATTGCGGGATACAGTCATCATTAATGTCGAATGAAATGTCCAGTTTCATTTCATTAGTTTCGGGGTAATGTTGAAAGGTTGCAGTCAGAAATAATGCTTCATCTTTGAGATTCCAGAATGTCGCTGGGACTACTGCATATTGACCCGTTTGATAGGCTACTTTTCTCTTGGTCTTAATTCCAACAGTTTGTAATACTTTGCTAATGCTTTTGGTTTCTTTCCATTTTGGTACCGCAGGATTGGTACTTTTTCCCATTTTGAAAAACGCCAACTGGTAACTATTAGTATGAACGCGAACAATCATCACAAAATTATTGGGCCAGTCGCGAATTGTAAGCATTACGTTGGTCGGCTTACCAATCTCTAAAACATCATTTGCGTATATATTTAACCATTGAAATTTATTTAATTGTCCATTCGCATCTCTATTTAATGCCATTAAGATCAGAAATAAAACGGGAAACCACATAATCTTCTCTTCAAAATTAACTCCGATTTTGTCTATCGTTCCTTTTTATGTATGGCAAGGCATACTACGTCTTTTACTTGTAAGGACTAAGTATCCAATAGCTTTCTGTCTGTATTTGTGCGACGAAGCTTTATCAAGTAGTAATCGTCCGTCAATGTAGGAAAGGACCTTCGGAGACCCTTCGACACCATTCGTGGTTTCAGGAAAGGTGACGCCCTCTCGTGCTACCTCTTCAACTTTCTGCTGGAGAGTGTGGTGCGCAAAGCTGGTGTAGGAGGGGACGTCGCCGGACCATTTGCGGCTATTGAGAATTAAGATGCAAAAGTGGGTTTGGTGATAAACGAAAGCAAAACGAAGTATATTTATATTAAGCAGGGACACGCGGCAAGCAGGCGCCCAGATCGCGGTGAAAAACTATACTTTCGAAATGATAAAACATTTCGTGCTGGTCGGCCCTACCGTTACACCAACCAACGATGTCAGCCTGGAGGTCAAACTCTAACCAATCGACACTACTTCGGCCTCAGTAGGCAATTAAGTAGCAGAGGCCTCTCTCGAAAAACAAATTTAACACTCTACCACACGCTCATCCTCCCCGTGAGGATAGAGCAGAAGCATGGGTGATATCGCAGACCGATGCAGCAGCTTTTGGAGTATTCGAGAGAGAGAGAGAGAGAGATGCTGCGGAAGATCTTCGATCCCATACGCGTTGGCGACGACTACCACATACGATGGAACAACGAAATGTACGAGCTCTACGCCGATATTGACATAGTCAAGCGAATAAACATCCAGCGGCTAAGCTGACTTTGCCGTACGTATGGATGAAGAATGTTGGGGGAGACGAAGCACTGTGGAGCCATGAACGCTTTGGGGAATATGAAAACACGTATCTAAAATTCAATTTCCCAGAGATTAAGAAAATCGTAGTCTTAGAGAAATCGGAATTACTTTCCAAATATGTTCCAGAGATATTCCTTTACCTAACCCTAAAAACATTCATCCACGGGTATAAGAAGAATGCATAACAGGTACATTCGATGTAACAGCTATTAGGAACATTGTATTTTGCATTATGGATACAAAAATATACCTTAGCGGTCCTATTTGACCCATATTTAATATTGTGCAACCAAAATGCTAGTGTAATATAAAATATGAGGAGAAGGGCTTACAAATTGTGATTTTTTTTGGTTTAAAGTATTTGAACAGACAAAAAGGGGTATTACTTTGTTATCTTAGGTATACGTACAGAAATGGTATATATTACACATGGTGCAGCGCAATCGTCTAGTTTTGACTTTAAAAGCAGTCAGTTGTCTATAATAAGCAGTGAATAGTATTTCTAAATATAATTCACGGTTCTTATTTAAAAAATTTGGGTTTTTTTTAACATGGCTCTGCATAATGCAAAATGTAATAATAAAACAAGATAGAACGCTACAGTCGAGCAAGCCCGACAGTAAAATAGCCTGTACTCTCCACAAAAGGAAAAATTAAAAAAAAAACAATTTAAAAAAAAAAAAAAAAATTATTAAAAAAATGAATGAATTAATTAATTAAAATAATTAATTAAATTAAATTAGAATACATGTTTATGTTCAGTTTTAACAGCACACATTTACATCACGTACCTATGCGTGTTTATATGCGTGTATGTATGCAGCACAAAGTTGAACAAAAGCAGCAACAACAACAGCTGCGGGCAGCGCTGCCGACAGAGCTGCAGGCAGCGCATGAGCAGCGATTTTACTTATGGCTATAACTTTCTTCAGAATTGACCTATCATGATGAAATTTGGCACACGGACACATTAGTACTAACTGGATGTACCTACCAAAATTGATTTTTAAATTCCGAGAATTACGGAAGTTATAAGAAAAAATACGAATTGCGGGGGAGTGGGGGGGTGTATCAGAAAAAATAAACAAACTCGTTCTGCCTAGGGCTTATAGGAACCTTGATACCAATTTTGGTTATCCTAGCTCTTGTACTTACTGAGATCCTTGCGCTCATACAGACAGACGGACAGACGGACAGACGGTCAGACGGACAGACGGACATGGCTATATCGACTCGTCTTCTCATCCTGATCAAGAATATATATACTTTGTGGGGTCTGCCACGCCTCCTTCTGTGTGTTACATACATGCGCACAAAACTAGTATAGCCTTTCACCCTTTGGGTACAGGCTATAATAAAAATAATAACTTCAAATATTTTTTTATTTTTAAATTTAAAAAAATTCTCAAATTCCAAGTAAATTTGCTTGATGAAAATATCTTTATCCATTCAAGACATATGCCTTTTGCAACGAAAAAAATCAGAAGGCCCCACTGTGCGACGGCGGGGGAGACCTTGTCACCGCAGGAGGGACCAAATAGAGGACGCATTTTCCACCTGCGGAGTGACTTTATTGAACTGGAGAGAGCTGAACAATTTTGCATTAGCTTTACTGGTTTGTCACATGACCGAGAGATACAATTATACGGTAAGAGTATCTTTTATTGAAACAGAAATACAGAATTTGTTAACCCGGTTTACAGTCTTGCAATTTTGACAAGCAAAATTTCATAGAAAAACTGAACTATACAACTGGCAAGGTAGCACACACAGGATAGGTAGATTATCTCAATAATAGGCAGCAACATCTTTCCACGTGTCTTTCGAAATAACATCTCCCGGTTATGTTCGCTATCTTTGCCAAAATAGAGGACAATGATGCAAACTGTTACGCCTAGCTTGTTAACAAAGATGCAGACGCGCTCAAAGCGCGAGAAACAGCGGTTGCCGAGATGCCAACGCCAGCTGCCTATAACTGGTTGAACTCCGAACCAATTGGTGCAATTGCGCTCCATGCTGCGCTTGAAACGATAGCACCATCTTCCCACGAATCTGTCTTGTTTGTCAATTATTTTGCCACGTGATACAACTGTGTTGTGCGTCCGCAACCACAAATGAATTTGGAATGCCTGCGTTGTCTGGGTCGTTACGTCCTGTACAACCACACTGCTAAGGTACCAGGAGGAGTAACGTCCACCACCGTCATGATTAATTTGCAGCTGAGTGGGTAAACGTATGATGCGCGATCTTAAAATCAATGTATGGGTGGTATTTGTGCGAAGCTTGGGTCGCGTAGGATCCTGGGATATGGTGTAGCAAACCTGTTCATGCGTTGGCTGCACAAATCGTATCTGAACATTGGCCGTGGTACCGCTATTTTCACCTCCTCCCGTTTTTAGATGAATAAGAAACATATGTTCCTCGTTGCCTTCAAAAAGTTGTTGTTCCACCTCATCATCCGGCCTTGAGCATTCTAGCGCAATAAGCCTTTTGCTACAGCACCACACAAACAATATAAGTAATATTAATGACAACCAGAAACAACTGAAGATCGCAATGTAAATATTCCTGTTTAGAAAATCCGTCGAATGATTTATGGGCACTGGTATAATGGGTACATTATACACATAGGCTGTATATGTGCTTAGGTATTCGCATATGCAAATTATTCCAGTATGAATATCAAGTTCCATGGCTGGCAGGCAGCCATACTGGGACCAATGCGGATCAACTGGATCATTGTACATCCAATAGTCGCAGTCGCGGAGCTGAAAAAGGAAATATATCTCAGCCGAACCGTTCACCAAATCATGACTATCGTTGGTGGCTAAAGCCAAGCCCATATAGGCTTTAACTGCTTTGGGGCATGGGTTACGAAGTAGCATAATGCGATCCGTTTCATTGGCGTAGACAATGCACGATGATGTTTTAATTTCGTCACGGAAAGGTTGATTCACGGTCTGCAACTTTACCACCACATCGTGAGTTGTATTCACGAAGCGCACGGCCAACAGCCCTTGGGCCTCAATGTTCACGCGATAGATCTTATATTCCCTAACTGAAGTGAGCTGGTCGCGTAGAACCATATTTTCGAAGACACCTTCCGTAGAGACTCGGTCAGCCGAGTGTTCATCGACAATACGAAATGAGGGTCCTAGATGTGGACGGGCAGGCTTACGGCGGTTTGGCATGGCAATTGATGATACAGGAGTCTTGGATCTACGAGTACATAGAGATATAAATAATACAAATTCGGTTTAATATTCCCAGCGTATTATTAGGGATATAATCACTCACCTATTGAATTCCAATTCTGATTCACTAATAATGAATTCATTGGATTTACGGTAAACCAATGTAGGGCGGCTATTCCTTGAAAGTATATCTGGAGGACGTTCAATCGGCTTGTATTTACCAATAAGTGTAATATACTCAATCTTGTTATTCAGCTTGTGTGTTCCAACTAGTTCCGAGGAATTGGTAAAAGCGCGCACTTTCAGCAAACGCGCACTTGGTTGCCGCTCATCCGGGTACCACCAGTTCAGGTTACGGACTATAGATACCATACGGACGCAGACGAAATGATTACTATTCAATTTATCTGACAACTCTTCCAAAAGTCCCACTGAAAAAGTCACCTTATTGATGAGATCGTATGATTTGAGAATATACTCTTTATATGTTTCAACACATTCCACGTCCATGGCAACGCCTATCGAAATGGTCTGACCATCATCATCGTCAAGTCCTAGACCCATCTCATTAGTGAAGAACAGATAGTTATACAGTCTATTCGCATTGTATGTGGCATTCAACCACATTTCAGTGTTAAGTCTCACATCCTTTTCCGGTATTTGTTCTATCTCCTTGCGTACCTTGGCTATATGTTCCGGTGTAAGCTTCGCATGCGGCTTGACCATATCAACGATGAACTGAGGTGGCGGAGCTAACTTGTCCGTAAGATTTTGGAACATACGTTGAATAAGAATGCATCTGACCGTAGCATTGCGAAATGGATATTCACGTAAATTGTCTATCTCGCCATTTTCTGTAATTTCTGCAAATATATGATTTATGGACTCCACGGCTTTTGTCAGCACACGGACACCGTCATCACTGATGGGATTCAAAGAGATGGCCAGTGACTTGGTTACATTGGCCAATTTCCCGAGTTCCAAGACAGAGCGCGGCTGATAATTATTAAAAAAGCGCAAGATAGTAGCTGCCTCTTTAACGCTCTTAATGCGCCTTGCGGCTGAATTAAGTATTATGTAGGCTTTGTTGCGATATCCTCTTTTAAACAGAACGGCCACATCTGTTAAGCCGGAAGACAGAAAGTCTTCCAGCGTCTGATTTGTCGTGGAACCAGTTGGTATGTACTGCTCCTTTACGTTGACCTCGACTGATACATCATTACACGCCTTGTAGAAGTCACAAACTCGTACTGTTATCGATTTAGCCACCGGCAACAACAGCTTCATACTTTCCGAGTAGAATACCTCCTGTATGACCTTGGCCGCGATAATGAAGAATCTTTTAGGGTTGTAGTTAGTCTTGAAATTCAGGCATTGCACATTAAACATAGTATCAAACTCTTGACCTGTTTCGGGCTCGATGCTACAGCCAGGGCCTACGGGTCCAAAATTTTTTTTAAGGACTAGTTTTCTCGTATTAGTGCGATAATCATGGGTCACCCCTGATACTTCAATAATAACATTTTCGAAAGGTGTTCGTAGAAATACATAGAGGCGTTCGTCCTCAATCATTATCTCGTTATCAACGGACCATTGATAGTCAATTTTAGCATCTCCACAATCTAGGCAAACTGCCAATAGATCAACCTTTTCATTTGGATGGTAAACATCGCCGGCACAGTTTTGCAAACACTGTATATAAAAGTCCACTGTTCTGTATCTAACCACATTTAGCGTCTGAGTAGCGCTTGCGTTCTTACTATCAATAGAGACTTCCAAGGTGTACTTGTAACTGCAGCCCATCTTCAGCGTATACCTTGGAATACGTATTATGTTTGCTGAAAGATGTGGAAGACAAAAAGCAGACACTATTATTAACCAATTACTTAGGCCTCTTCCTTATTTAATACACACCATGACTCATATTTTTTTTACAGTACCAATTACTTTGATCGCAACTACTATAACAACTCCAAAGGAAGTCCAAGTTGCTGGAGTCTTCACCTTCAGCCAATTCTCGGCTTAAGGAGCCATTGACATATATGACTTCGTAACGATTCACGTCCCGCTCATTACCTCCTACAATAACTGCGCTCACATCCCCTTGGACCAAGTCTATATAGCACTGTACCATGAATAATGGCATGGGAGAGTAGACTGCAAATTGTTGTATCCTAATGGACAAAGGTACTTACGTGTCCTGCTTCTCTACCTGCGATCACACGTATCATTATCGAATACTTATCGAATTTATGCGCATTCGATGGTTTAATATTGAGTGCAAAGCGTTCTATTCGAAGTAATGGCACCCTGGACACTTCCCATTCTTTCAGTTTTTCTTTAAACACCATACTATTGAGAATTTCATGTTGCGACACACATATCTACTTACCGTTTCCCAGAATATCATATGCTACCCAACGAAAAGAAATTTTAGTATTGGGACAGTAGTCCATGCTTGCCTCAAGTTCATAAAACTGAGCCACGGACGCAATAAGCGGCTTCATTGGATCTGAGCACTCCCGAAATCTTGGATTGAGGAAGCAATTCATCCCAGAGAAATAAACCACTATTTTTGTTTGCTCGCCCGTAAAATCCGGTGACAAAATCTTTGAATAAGGCAACACATCCGCACGTACCATAAATCTTCCTTCAGTCCAAAAGGTACACTTAGATAAATGAATGTATCCCTTGGTATAGGGCAAGGGATATTTGCGATCTATATCAGCTTTCAATAATTCACGTCTAATATCATCTGATTTTTTCCAAATATTATGCTTATCGTTCTCGATGACATACAATTTGTTTACCAAGTAATCCCGATTCGAGGTAGTGACACGTACAATAAATTCGAGATCCGGAGGCAACATCTTAATTGTTACCGCATAGGATGATCTAGTTCCCAATTTATGATAGTAATTTGTATAAATTCTTACATGCAAGGTGCTCAAATCTTGTGATTGTTGATATGAGATTTGAGGTAGCAGCACTAAAATCAGCCATAAACATGATTTTAGTGTGATCGACATATGGAATTTACGAATTTTCGCAGGGTTGTATTCTGCTGAAATATACTTAAATGCCTGCTCAGTTTTTTATAATCAATATATAACATTGGTTTTTTAAGTACACTTCACCCCAAACATTAAATTAACAAAATACTCGGAAAAACTGCTTCCTTACCATATAACTGGCATTTGCAAGACAGCTCTTAAAGGGACACCAATCGAATCCGAATCCGAATCCTGTGTCCGCACAAGGACGCGGCTTTAGCACTTGTGACGACGGGAACACAATATCTCAAAAGCTTAAAAGCGTAGGGAGGGTACATTGTTCCTAAACCCCTTCACAAGAAAAGGTTTTCAGACCTGCAATAGAGTTTTATATGAAGGTAGCCTGCCATGTTTGGATTCCAAGCCCCCTTGGAATTTTCACGAGTACCTGCATTGAGATCCTTTAAATAAATTGCACAGTCGAGCATTTTATATACAAAACAATACCAGTGTATGGTTAAGATGAATATAAAATGTAAAATCTGCAAGCCATAACATTTGCCGGCCTTTGCAGAATGTTTAAATACACCTAGCCCTCGCTTAGCGCGGGGGTTACGTTCCTTGAAAACGTCGTGTTAACCGAAATCGCGTTAAACGAGCCATGTATTTCCATACAAAATGAGGGGTTACGTTCCTAGACTTCGAAAAATGCATACAACAATTTTTTAGTGTTTAAATTTATTAGTTTCAAAAACATAAAAAGGTTTATTCAAATGGCAAAAGTTTTCAAAAGTAAAAAGAGAACACATATATATTAAAATAAAATGAAAATTCATTTAGTGGAATTTATAGCAGCTTTAGTAATTAACATTTTTTATATGGTTGCTCCCCATGCGTGCCAACAAAATCTGTAATTTTCGACTGTTTAGTGGCTCTTAAAGCTTCATAGCAGCTCTCCTTATATGGTTTATTTTCTTTTGTTGCCATGTAGAAACTGCAATTCGTATAATTTACTTTAAATCATTTTATTGCATTCAACGGTTAAACCATTTCACTTATCACTAGAATTTTAATCTTACTATGTGCGCGTCTGAAAAAATAAAGTTGTGCTCACCTTAGCAACTATTTATGAGTATGCACTCATTCTTACTCTGGTGGTGTAGAGAGTGGGACTTCCCTTTTTCTACACACATCTCATGTGTGGTGATACATATAGTACTTTACCCAAATGTACTCATGCAATAATCGACAAAATAAAAAATCGATTTTGTCAAACGCGTTAAAACGAGGTATTTCACCGCCATAGCTATTTCCGTGTACGCTTCAGTCATGCTGCGAACCGCCCGTAAAAAGCTGATATACAAAACCTCAGACATCAGCAGATACCATCACTGGCTGAACTCCATGAACCCGAACCCACCACTGGACACTCCCGAAGATATCGAGGCTGCCGTCGAGAATCTCACCACGCAAATTAAGGAGGCAGCGGCACGTGCGGCACCAAGGCTCTCAAACCAGCTGAGAGCTACCAGCAGGGACGTCAACTTTTGGAATCCCCAAGTAATCGAGCTGAAGACCGAGAAACGGCGTCTCCGACGAGTATGGTTCCTCTCAAGAAATCCTAGAGACAAGACCGCTCTTAACAGAGCCGCAAAGGAGCTTAAGGAGACTTTGGCAAACCTGAGGAAGGAGGCCCTTTACAGCTTCGTAGGACAGCTTGCGCCTGGTGACCCTCACCACAATTTGTGGAATGTCACCAAGCACATTAAGCGGACGCTCAAGAGGATTCCGCCTATTAAGAAACCAGACGACTCATGGTGCAGAACAGAGGCGGAGAGGGCCAACGCATTCGCCGAGCACCTGGAGGGAGTCTTCACACCAATTCTTCGATGCTCTCCCTATGACGCAACGGAAACGGCCAGACTCCTGGATGAACCTCTCGCAGACTCTGAGCCGATTCCCCAAGTTACGGAAGAGGAGACTGCCGAGCTAATAGCTGCAATGCATAACAACAAGACACCAGGCGATGATGGCATCAATGCAATCGCATTAAAACTTCTCCCACCCACAAGCAAGAAACTCATAACGCTCATATTTAACAAATGCTTGCAAATGGGGCACTTTCCATCATCATGGAAACGTGCAGAGATAGTTATGATACCTAAGCCTGGAAAACCTGAAGCTAATCTTGCCTCCTATCGGCCGATCAGCTTATTGCCAGTACTCTCAAAGATACTCGAAAGAGTATTCTTAAATAGAGTATTGCCGATAATGGACGAGGCTGGTCTGATCCCCGATCACCAGTTTGTCGTTCAATATATCTTGGACGCTTTTGAAAACAAGAAATATTGCCTAGCGGTCATGGTGGACGTCAAGCAAGCCTTCGATCGGGTCTGGCACCCTGGACTCCTCCTGAAGATTAAACCGGCCTGCCCCAGCCCTACTTCAAGTTCCTGAAGTCATTCCTGGAAGGCCGAAGGTTCGCCGTTAAATGTGGAGAAGCCCGCTCAGGTCTCAAAGATATTCGCGCTGGTGTCCCCCAAGGAAGCGTCCTCGGCCCGCTTATGTACAATGTTTACACGGCCGACCTCCCGGTGCTACTGAGCCCCAACATTATGGTAGCCACATATGCCGACGACACGGCCTTCCTCACCGTAGCAGACACCCCAGCAGAGGAATCCCAGGTAATGCAAGAGCAACTCCATCTGTTTAACTCGTGGCACAAGAAGTGGAATATCTCTGTTAACAGCGATAAGTCCACCGCCACCATCTTCTCCACCCGCTTCGGCAACTGCCCACCAGTTAGCCTCAATGATATTACAATCCCAGAAGAAGACACTCCCAAATATCTTGGCATCACCCTCGACAGGAGGCTAACGTGGAAACCGCACCTGCAGAAGAAGCGCCGCCAGGCAGAAGACCGCATTAAAGCGTACTACTGGCTGATGGGTAGGAGATCCAAGCTGCCAACGTCATCAAAGCTTCTTGTATACAAGGCGATCATCAGGCCAATCTGGATATATGGTATCCAATTGTGGGGCACCGCCTGTAAAACTAATGTCCGAATTATACAGACATTCGAGAACAAAGCTCTCCGCATCGCTACCAGCGCTCATCCTCTGCACGACAATGACACCATTCATGAAGTCCTCAGCTTCCCTTGGGTGAAGGACGAAGTATAATCAAATAATATATAATATAATCATGGTATCGATTAGTGCGATGTCATGCAGGTCAAAGGTAGAAACAAGCAATATGAAATACGGTCCACATACAAATAAGAGGAGATACATACATACTTAATGTAAATTAAAGGAAACTTCAGAAAGATAAAGTAGATGTGGAAGATAGAAAATAAGTGTAGATCGTAAGTAATAATTGTATATAAAATAAGCAACATTTTAATAGCATGTACCCAAAGGGTAAAAGGCTATATTAGTTTTGTGCGAATGTATGTAACACACAGAAGGAGGCGCAGACCCCACAGAGTATATATTATTGATCAAGATGACGAGTCGATATAGCCGTGTCCGTCCGACCGTCCGTTCGTCTGTAGGAGCGCAAGGATCTCAGAAAGCACAAGAGCTAGAATTACCAAACTTGGTATCTAGGTTCCCCTAAGCACTAGGCAGGTCGTTTTTTTTTTTTATTCTGATACACCCCCCGACTCCTTGCAATTCGTTTTTTTTTTTCATAAGTCCCGTAATTTTTGGAACTGCGTGAAACCTTTGAGTTTCCCTCCTGCCAACTCTCGACAAGCCTGCCGCTAAGGCTGCATTTACTTCCGTAGCAAAAAACTGTTAGATCGTCCACGCCATTAAGGACTAATGACTTTGCGCTTTTTGTTATTTATTGTTGCTGCACATGGCAAGTAATTCTATCTTTCTATATTTCGAAAATCATTGAATGCCGATTTGTAGATATAGTTAGTTATAGATCGAACAACATTTATAACACTAACTTTTCATTTGAAGTTTGTATTCTTTTATTGATTTTAGAAACCAAGTTTTAAATCGATCGGTTGAAAAATGTGAATTTTTCAAACAATCTTTGGAGCTTGTTTTCCCCCCTTTGGAGCTTGAATTTTAAAAAATTCCCTTCTTAGTGAACACCTACACTATGAAAGGATACTTGAGCCCACATGTCAGCTTCCTAACTTTTACCGTTTGGGCTGTGCGTTGATCATCATGTCAGTAGATATTCAATGAGAGCTGAAAAATTATGCATTAGTTTTACTGTATTATCACAGAACCTTACCTTGTGGTGACACAATTTTATTGAAACAGAAATACAGAATTTGTTAACCCGGTTTACAGTCTTGCAATTTTGACAAGCAAAATTTCATAGAAAAACTGAACTATACAACTGGCAAGGTAGCACACACAGGATAGGTAGATTATCTCAATAATAGGCAGCAACATCTTTCCACGTGTCTTTCGAAATAACATCTCCCGGTTATGTTCGCTATCTTTGCCAAAATAGAGGACAATGATGCAAACTGTTACGCCTAGCTTGTTAACAAAGATGCAGACGCGCTCAAAGCGCGAGAAACAGCGGTTGCCGAGATGCCAACGCCAGCTGCCTATAACTGGTTGAACTCCGAACCAATTGGTGCAATTGCGCTCCATGCTGCGCTTGAAACGATAGCACCATCTTCCCACGAATCTGTCTTGTTTGTCAATTATTTTGCCACGTGATACAACTGTGTTGTGCGTCCGCAACCACAAATGGATTTTGAATGCCTGCGTTGTCTGGGTCGTTACGTCCTGTACAACCACACTGCTAAGGTACCAGGAGGAGTAACGTCCACCACCGTCATGATTAATTTGCAGCTGAGTGGGTAAACGTATGATGCGCGATCTTAAAATCAATGTATGTGTGGTATTTGTGCGAAGCTTGGGTCGCGTAGGATCCTGGGATATGGTGTAGCAAACCTGTTCATGCGTTGGCTGCACAAATCGTATCTGAACATTGGCCGTGGTACCGCTATTTTCACCTCCTCCCGTTTTTAGATGAATAAGAAACATATGTTCCTCGTTGCCTTCAAAAAGTTGTTGTTCCACCTCATCATCCGGCCTTGAGCATTCTAGCGCAATAAGCCTTTTGCTACAGCACCACACAAACAATATAAGTAATATTAATGACAACCAGAAACAACTGAAGATCGCAATGTAAATATTCCTGTTTAGAAAATCCGTCGAATGATTTATGGGCACTGGTATAATGGGTACATTGTACACATAGGCTGTATATGTGCTTAGGTATTCGCATATGCAAATTATTCCAGTATGAATATCAAGTTCCATGGCTGGCAGGCAGCCATACTGGGACCAATGCGGATCAACTGGATCATTGTACATCCAATAGTCGCAGTCGCGGAGCTGAAAAAGGAAATATATCTCAGCCGAACCGTTCACCAAATCATGACTATCGTTGGTGGCTAAAGCCAAGCCCATATAGGCTTTAACTGCTTTGGGGCATGGGTTACGAAGTAGCATAATGCGATCCGTTTCATTGGCGTAGACAATGCACGATGATGTTTTAATTTCGTCACGGAAAGGTTGATTCACGGTCTGCAACTTTACCACCACATCGTGAGTTGTATTCACGAAGCGCACGGCCAACAGCCCTTGGGCCTCAATGTTCACGCGATAGATCTTATAGTCCCTAACTGAAGTGAGCTGGTCGTGTAGAACCATATTTTCGAAGATACCTTCCGTAGAGACTCGGTCAGCCGAGTGTTCATCGACAATACGAAATGAGGGTCCTAGATGTGGACGGGCAGGCTTACGGCGGTTTGGCATGGCAATTGATGATACAGGAGTCTTGGATCTACGAGTACATAGAGATATAAATAATACAAATTCGGTTTAATATTCCCAGCGTATTATTAGGGATATAATCGCTCACCTATTGAATTCCAATTCTGATTCACTAATAATGAATTCATTGGATTTACGGTAAACCAATGTAGGGCGGCTATTCCTTGAAAGTATATCTGGAGGACGTTCAATCGGCTTGTATTTACCAATAAGTGTAATATACTCAATCTTGTTATTCAGCTTGTGTGTTCCAATTAGTTCCGAGGAATTGGTAAAAGCGCGCACCTTCAGCAAACGCGCACTTGGTTGCCGCTCATCCGGGTACCACCAGTTCAGGTTACGGACTATAGATACCATACGGACGCAAACGAAATGATTACTATTCAATTTATCTGACAACTCTTCCAAAAGTCCCACTGAAAAAGTCACCTTATTGATGTGATCGTATGATTTGAGAATATACTCTTTATATGTTTCAACACATTCCACGTCCATGGCAACGCCTATCGAAATGGTCTGACCATCATCATCGTCAAGTCCTAGACCCATCTCATTAGTGAAGAACAGATAGTTATACAGTCTATTCGCATTGTATGTGGCATTCAACCACATTTCAGTGTTAAGTCTCACATCCTTTTCTGGTATTTGTTTTATCTCCTTGCGTACCTTGGCTATATGTTCCGATGTAAGCTTCGCATGCGGCTTGACCATATCAACAATGAACTGAGGTGGCGGAGGTAACTTGTCCGTAAGATTTTGGAACATACGTTGAATAAGAATGCATCTGACCGTAACATTGCGAAATGGATATTCACGTAAATTGTCTATCTCGCCATTTTCTGTAATTTCTGCAAATATATGATTTATGGACTCCACGGCTTTTGTCAGCACACGGACACCGTCATCACTGATGGGATTCAAAGAGATGGCCAGTGACTTGGTTACATTGGCCAATTTCCCGAGTTCCAAGACAGAGCGCGGCTGATAATTATTAAAAAAGCGCAAGATAGTAGCTGCCTCTTTAACGCTCTTAATGCGCCTTGCGGCTGAATTAAGTATTATGTAGGCTTTGTTGCGATATCCTCTTTTAAACAGAACGGCCACATCTGTTAAGCCGGAAGACAGAAAGTCTTCCAGCGTCTGATTTGTCGTGGAACCAGTTGGTATGTACTGCTCCTTTACGTTGACCTCGACTGATACATCATTACACGCCTTGTAGAAGTCACAAACTCGTACTGTTATCGATTTAGCCACCGGCAACAACAGCTTCATACTTTCCGAGTAGAATACCTCCTGTATGACCTTGGCCGCGATAATGAAGAATCTTTTAGGGTTGTAGTTAGTCTTGAAATTCAGGCATTGCACATTAAACATAGTATCAAACTCTTGACCTGTTTCGGGCTCGATGCTACAGCCAGGGCCTACGGGTCCAAAATTTTTTTTAAGGACTAGTTTTCTCGTATTAGTGCGATAATCATGGGTCAGTCCTGATACTTCAATGATAACACTTTCGAATGGTGTTCGTAGAAATACATAGAGGCGTTCGTCCTCAATCATTATCTCGTTATCAACGGACCATTGATAGTCAATTTTAGCATCTCCACAATCTAGGCAAACTGCCAATAGATCAACCTTTTCATTTGGATGGTAAACATCGCCGGCACAGTTTCGCAAACACAGTATATAAAAGTCCACTGTTCTGTATTTAACCACATTTAGCGTCTGAGTAGCGCTTGCGTACTTACTATCAATAGAGACTTCCAGGGTGTACTTGTAACTGCAGTCCATCTTCAGCGTATACCTTGGAATACGTATTATTTTTGCTGAAAGAAGTGGAAGACAAAAAGCAGGCACTATTATTAAGTAATTGGTATCTTCCTTATTTAATACACACCGGAACTCATATTCTTTTGACAGTACCAATTACTTTGATCGCAACTACTATAACAACTCCAAAGGAAGTCCAAGTTGCTGGAGTCTTCGCCTTCAGCCAATTCACGGCTTAAGGAGCCATTGACATATATGACTTCGTAACGATTCACGTCCCGCTCATTACCTCCTACAATAACTGCGCTCACATCCCCTTGGACCAAGTCTATATAGCACTGTACCATGAATAATGGCATGGGAGAGTAGACTGCAAATTGTTGTATCCTAATGGACAAAGGTACTTACGTGTCCTGCTTCTCTATCTGCGATCACACGTATCATTATCGAATACTTATCGAATTCATGCGCATTCGATGGTCTCATATTGAGTGCAAAGCGTTCTATTCGAAGTAGTGGCACCCTGGACTCTTCCCATTCTTTCAGTTTTTCTTTAAACACCATACTATTGAGAATTTCATGTTGCGACATACATATCTACTTACCGTTTCCGAGAATATCATATGCTAACCAACGAAAAGAAATTTTAGTATTGGGACAGTAGTCTACGTGTGCCTCAAGTTCATAAAACTGAGCCACGGACACGATTAGCGGCCTCGTTGGATCTGAGCACTCCGTAAATCTTGGATTAAGGTAGCACCCCTTATTGGAATCAATTTTAATTAGTGTTTGCCTGCCCTTATAATCCGGTGACAAATTTTTTGAATAAGGCAACAAATCCACACGAATCATAAACCTTCCTGTATTCCAAAAGGCACGCTTACCTATATAAATGTATCCCTGCTTATAGGGCAAGTCATAATCGCGATGTATTCCAGCCAACATTAAATCAACTCGAATATTATCCGATTTTTTCCAAATTTTATGCTTATCGTTCTCGATGACATACAATTTGTTTATCAGGAAATCCTGCCGGGAGGTAGTGACACGTACAATAAATTCAAGATCCGGGCGTAAAGCCTCTATCGTTATCACATAGGGTGATGCATGCCCCATTATATGGTCATAGACGGAATAAATTTTTGGGTTCATGAAGGTCAAATCTTCCGGTTGTTGATATGAGATTTGAGGCAGCAGCATTAAGATCAGCCATAAACATGATTTTAGTGAGCTCGACATATGGAATGTACGAAGTTTCGCAGGCTTCTGCTGTTTTCTATTGAGGTATACTGGAATGCCTGCCCAGTTTTTATAATCAATATACAATAAAAATGTTTAGGACTGGAAGGCGAAGTACACTTTATGCATGCTACAAAACGTTCTCATCCATCTCAGCGCTTCTTCTATATATATTTGGACTAATAAGCTCGTATTATACATTAATAATGAATTATGATCGACAAATGTCCCAGAAGCCTCCCGACTTCTGTCTAAAAGCCAGCTCAATTTTTACAATTAGTTTTTTATTATTATTTGTTTTCCAACAAAATACAGACTAAATAATAAGTAAAATATATTTATTTATATATATATATATATATATTATTATTACATATTATTAAAGACCCTTGCAACTTGGCTCTAAAAGTTTACTCTAAATTTTGTTGTTGTTTTTGTTGTTACGTCTTTGTTTATTTGTTGTTACAGTTGATTTGTTTGTTGATTGGTGTGCCAAGAGCTTATTTATGAATTTGCTTAAAACCGAACCTAAACTGCCGCCTTGGATTTGTTTCTATGAACGCTTCACTTAGTTATATAAAATTGCTGCGTAACGAAATACAATGGATAAAGTGAATAATGTAAATGTTATAATGTATTTTTATTTGATTGCTGAAATGTGTTGCTAGCGCATGTTCGAAAGTGTGATAAATATTGTGCTGAATTAAAATTGATTAACTAAACAATTGTATTTTAGAGTGAAATAAATGGAGCATCAAATATTTGCAAGCTTTCCCATAAAATTCATATGTAATTATGTATGTATATTTACATAAATGATGCATTTTTGTATTGTTTCTTACATTTTCTGTTGATTTTTACAATAACATCCGCATTTTCCATTTAAATATTAACATGATTGGAAAAGAAAAGTTAAATAAAAACGAAAACATATTTATGCAATAAGGTCTGCACATGCTTGGATATATTTTCTTAGTTATTGCTGTTTGTGTTGTTTTTCTTTTCCTTTCTAATTATACAAAAAATTGCCCTCTTGCTTCTATAGCCCGTAGGCTAACAACACACGTCCAAATTTAAACAAAATACAAATGTTTAAAATAATACAAACATTATGTTTAGAGGAGACACTGGTTTGTGCCACTACAGCTTCAGATGCATGCGAAAGATCAGAGTGCATACTAGACAAATATTGAACGCTTAGATCAAAACAAATGAGAAAATTCAATAAACATGAGTGAAAGCTAATGTAGGAAATTTAAATTTTGTTCTAATATGCGTTAACATTCAAGTATTTTGCTCCGAACACATCAAAATATAATGCACTGTGTATGAAAAAGCGGTACGCCTGCCCTTCAATTTATTTGTTTACATGCTCTCTCTGTTCTTCGCTCTCCCAACTTCGTTCTTCATTTCTGCTCTCTTCAAATGCTCACGCGACGCTTGTGTCTGCGCATTGGGAGTCGCACTGGCATTGCCATTGGCGACGTCGGCAACATCACTGCTTTGGAGACATCGTGCAGGACAATGCGAATGGGATTGATATCTTGCTTTGAACTTTGATCTGCACAGAAGTAACTCTAGTTTGATGATGGGGCGGAAGGGAAATGAATGTTAAGGATATGGACAATAGCACAAAAGTCTAATAAATGGTTAAGAAAATTTCGCAGATATAATTATCATTTATGAAATACATATACTATATATCTACGAAACTTACTTTACCACTCAACTAGTTACGTTTTGTTTATTGTTCACAGCGTTTTCATGTTTTCTTTATTTCTGTCTGTCAGTCGGTGTGTCGATCATATGTGAATATTTGTAGGTGTGTCCGTCAGTGTATGTTGTATCTGTGTTTTCTCCGTCGTTTTGTCGATTCGTTTTTGTGTACGTTTAAACTAAATGATAAAGTATAGTTTAAATGGTAGTCGTGTTAACTAAATGTTAAAATCTGGATCTTACAAATACAGCGCTTGAGTCGTGCTCACTGTATCCCAAGCGTTTGGTGTGCTTAAAAACTTCGTTTGTAATGCTAGTGACAGGCATCGATTGATCCAAGTTCTCGGCCATATTCAGCACCAGCCGCAAGTCGCGCTGCATATGACTAAGCGGCTGTTGAGGATTAAAATCGCCCTTGGCCATTTCTACAAAGAAATTTTAAAGGAAATATTTATTAAATTGTGTTTTTAGGATATTCTAAAACTTAATCGTTAAGTAGTCTTGTTTTGAATTATGTACATTTCATAGAGCTTATATCTTGTTTTGAATTTTAAAATGTTTTTTAAAGTGTTTGTCTTCTGCCATTTATTAATTGTTTTTTTTTAAATACATTCTTAAAACATCTCTTCCTATTTGGAACGATTTGGAACACAGATTTTTCTTATTCAACAAAAAATTAATTTAAATCAAGAATTTGTTTAAATTACCTCCTAAGCTACGTTTTATTTTTCGCATCTTTTAGAATGTTAGCAAATATTTTAATTCCCAAACAAAAAAGTTGGAGTTGAAGTATTACAAGATTTATAATTCCTTCCATCTTATAGTGGGAATTAGACATCTTTTTTTTTGTAACTGTGCACATTTTATTTTTCTTTTATAAAACCTGGTGCACTAACATTGAAATAGTTCATTAATCGCACAATTATAAAGTACATTTAATAGGTGTTGTCAGTTTTTCATAACGTTAAATATATTTTTTTTCTTAAATATTGCTTGAAAAACTAAATTAATGAATGCTTGCATTATTGCTTTACAATTATCACTAAAAATATACATTTTAAAATGTAATTATTATTGAATAAATTCTATCCATTACTTCCATTTACAGCTAAATTTATTGCTTCCGCGTATGAACTTACCTTTGCCCTTGGCCAATAGAAGCGGGGATTTCATAGAAGTCAAGTCAAATATGTCTATGATATCATTTAATGAAATCGAGAAGCGGTCAGCTGCAAGCAAATTTACAATATATAAATTATAGAGCTTTTAAAACACTGAACTATCTCAATTCTACGTACCTAATGCTAACGCCTCAGCCAAGCCTACTAGACTAACGCCGAGTATGGTTTGCAGTATGAGGTTAACTTTGCAGGCATTGCCGACATCTGCTAGATAAAAACAAAGAAAAAATTTAATAATGGACTCATACGCAAAGATGACACGGAATTTGTGGTAATATTAACTTACTGCCCAAAAAGAAGGTATTCTTCGCTATGGTCTTAAAGCAGGAATGACACTCTTCAAACACCGAGCGATCGCCACCAGCCAAGATTATAAGCATGCCTTCGGCAGCCTCCTGTCGTGATCCATGTATTTGCGCTTCTAAATAGCGGCCATTGCATTGCTTAATGCCCTCACCTATATCCATGGAGGTATCGGGATCTATAGTGGACATTTCGACATAAGCCTTGTTTCGCAAATCCTTCAACTGCAGGACTCCACAGTTTCCAAAGACAAGCTGCAGATGCAATGAAAATGGGTGAGCAAATAGACATATTAGTAATAGTAAAGCTTACATCTTTGGCACCCTTAGGATCCGATACGCAACAGAAAATAACATCTGCAGCTTCAACCACATCCATAGGCGTATCCTTAACGTCAGCTCCGGCCTCGGCAAAGGGTTGACACTGCAAATAATGATTCGTTTTTCTTTTTAAAATAAAGTGCTAGGAAACGTTTGACAAGTAAAACTAACCTTATCAATGGTGCGGTTCCAGACCACAACCTTGTGACCCGTGTAGATCAAATCCTTAACAATGGTTGAACCCATCATTCCCAATCCCAGAAAACCGATCGTTTGTTCCGAAGCCACAATGTCGCGTTCAGCCAACGTGTTCGGCCGTGAGTTCATGTCAATAGCCTGCGTCTCTGGACGCGTAACCACCGGACGGTCTAGCAATGCGATTGCATTAGGACCGCGTTTCGACAAAGAAGCCAGCAAAGGATCAGCTTCTGCGCGGCGTCGTGCCGTCGTTGGCGATGACGAGCTTGCGCCATCAAAGTCATAATGATCGAACTCCCTGGAGACCGTGCGTTTGCCGCGCTTTGCGCTGGTTGCGCCGCCAGCAGCGCCTGACGTCTGTATAGCCGAGATACGCCGCTTCTGTGCAGACTTTGTGGCGGCAGTCTTGCTGGTCTTTGAGACGGCAACGGCAGCGCTAGACTTTGCTTTGGGCGTACGCTTAGCTTGACTCTTTGCGACCACCGGCGTCGTGGCTGGTGCAGGTTGAGGTGACGCAGCATTATTTTCACTATCCAGCGCGGCCACATTAGTGCTGGTTTGCTCGTACTCATCCGGACTACCCACCACGTGCGCCACCACGCCGTTATTTGCATCACCGCCCTCGGGATTCTCATCGCTATCGAGGCCATCGCGAATCTTATCGAAATCGGCCTCGGTGGCATGATTGGCTACGCCACAACTTTCGTTGATTTGCTCATCGACCTCGTTTGGATCATTTAAATACTTTTCTATGTCCACCATGGCGTGTCTGAAGGCAGCCGGTTTACTTACTTTGGCCAGTTCGTCCTTCCAGGGACCCTCAAAGGGTTTAATGTTGTGTTCTTCTATCCAGGCGCTGTACAAAAAGGACTATTAGTTCTACTAATTGGCACATGTATATCAATAAATTACTTACAAGTTACGCGAACCAAAGAAGAAGACGCATTTGGTATTAGCGCGATGCTGCTGCGTAAGCAGATCCAACGGCGGCTCCACAATCTGCAGGCAACAATTAATTAAAATTTAGATCTCACTCCGAGTTAATACTTATTTATCTCTGATTGTCTAGGCTGACATTATAGATATTTACAATACATATAATAGCTCTACATATTTAAAAAAAAAAAAACGCTAAAAACAAACAATTTAATGCAAATACGGCCGCTTCAAAATGGAAATCACCCTCTTAAAAATAACATATCACACATAAAAACCATAATTGCCTGTACCACGGGGGAAAGCTATAAACTGAATTCGTGCTCTGTTGATAGCAACCGCGCTTTTTTCAGTACAAAACAAATCAACTAACTAAGAAGTGTACCGCCAGTGCCTTCGTATAATAAAAGCAGCGGTTGCGGCAGCGGCCGCAGTGCTGCATAAAAAAGTACAGTCAAAAACAATCGGAGATAGACAAGGGACGGCGACGGTAACGCGGTGCACACACACAGACACACACGCATACAATTGGCTTACCATGCCCGGCCACGGTGTGAAGCCCTTCATTTTGGCCCTGGAAAATAACAGATAGCATTTATTAGTTTCAAAAATTACAATTTGATTTTTAAAAAAATTACAGCATGCAAATGCACTTTGTTTCATTAATTTGCAGCACAATAAAAAGCGCGCGCACGAGAAAAAGCGCCAACGCAGAGACGTCGGCTTCTGCGTCGACGTTAGCTGCTGCGCGTTGGCCACCAGTTTATCAGAACATATATTTACTAACAATATCTTTCGTGGTTCACTAAATACGCGTTAATTACACTTTTCTCTGGCACATTTTACACTGGCCTCCTTTTTTTTAATGGTTGGTCAGAGCAGCACCAATGGTGCGGCAAGTGAGGTTATGTTTTTGGATATATCTACAATTTTGTTGTTAATAAACACACATCGCATTTATATTTTGAAGCAGTGGCCAATGCTTATTGGTAAATGCAGTATGTGGGTTCGCTTGGCGGGTACCACATCTTACCATATCAGATCCTTAGGTTTATAGATAAATTTCTCTGTCGTGTCGCCGCCCGATAGCGACAATTTTTTATTTTTCGACATTATGTTATCTAGGCGTATATTGAACTTGGTTATTTTGCTGCTGTTGCTTGCGACACGCACGAACTAATAAATTATTTGTTAAAAGTACAAATACGTCAGTTGCGGTCGGCGTTAAAATAATTTTCTTATTTTTCTTCCACAGCTTGCCTATTTTCCTCTTTTTTTGTATGTGTGACGCTTCGCAGCAATGTTATTTGCTGTGTGTGTGAAATCAGTAATGGCGCCTGACAGAGCTATCGAGTGCTGTGTTTCCCAAACGCATAAGTGTTGGAAAACGTGTGCACATCACACTGCTCTGCGGGAACACAGCACTTGGCATCGATACAATTTAAATATCGCGGTCATCTCCTTTCGCTATTGAACATATTTTGTGCCATTTAAAAGTTGGCTTTATTTATTTATTGGCTTATATGTATATTTATCTATAAAAAAAAGTACCTTTGATTATTTACATATATGTATGTATACTACACTATGTATTTGTCGACATGTTAAATAAATAAAAAAATGATTTATTAATTAACAAACAGCAAGTCGGCATAAGCTTCTCATACATATATAAAATAACTACATAAAATAAAGTAATTACTGAGAAAAGTTCATTGACTTATACGCTTACCCCCAAACTATTGCAAAGCACATGAATCGCACCAATATTATTTTAGGCCAGCATGCCAGTTGCCAAAAAATTGAATATTTTATAAAGCCGCATATGACATGTCGACATTCGCAAAAACGTCTCGGCTACAGATTTGCAAAATAAATAGAAATGCGTGCCAAATTGGCGAGAGCACAACCCCTTGCCAACGGGCTGGCCTTAACCCATGCTGCAACGTCAGGATTTGTTTAAATAAACAACCAACGCAGCTACTGAAAGCAAAACCGTTTTTCAAGTACAATGGACATCAAGCAAATGTTACATTTCAATTGCCATTGACAAGGCCACTCAAACCCACCCCCACTCCTGCTCTGTTTATCCAGTGCGTGCAATCTTCAACCAATTGGCTTTCACAATTTCGCAAACGTTTGGCTCTTTTATTCTGTTTTCCGGCAAACAATGCGTCTAAAACTTTCACTTTAGACCAAGCATTCATCAAAAAGGGCAGACGAGAGGCCTTAACCGCAAAATAAATTACCACACGTACCCACTAAACCATAATCCTCATAAATATGAAACAATCAAATAGAAAAGGAGTAAAAAACACACACAAGTGGGTCGTGGACACACTGCCTAGCTAGTCCTCTCAATGGCAAAGCAAACACCAAATGCCAAAAATAAAAAGAAAAAAGGGAAAGTTCCTCGACAAAAAGGGGTTACATTTTCCTGTTTCTACGGCAAAAGATACAACTTTTTTACAGCAAATAAATTGTTAACACTTTCCTTACTAATTAGCCAGCAGGGGGTGATTTAGAACTTAGGAAGAGTGAAGGGTGATTTCCGCTCGAGTTTGAATGATTTATTGCACAAAATATGCGCATTTAATGTGGAATAATCTGCTTTAGTTTGAGGACAAAGTAATTCTTTACTATATAGATATATATACATATTACGGTTACCTGGTTTTAAAATTCTTGGCAGCAAAATATGTACATACAATGTGCGTTCCAAAGTAAACAGGACTTTTTGAATCTAGAGCCCCCTGGTGGCGCTATCTATATGTCGACTGGTGCGTTAGAATCTGCTATCTTTATCGATTGTCCAGTGAGAATATTATGACATTTCATCGATTGGAAGCGAAGTTCCGTAGCAGAGTGCACGAGTGGTTTCTACGTTTTCAAAGTGGTCGTGAGGACATAAATGACGGTCAACATGTGGGCAATCAAAATACGTGATCACCGAAGATTCCATCGAAACTGTGCGTGATGGAAATTGAATTGAACATCTCCAAATCATTGATTTATCGAATTTTGACCATTTGTGTGCACGGTTTGTTCCGCACAAATTGACTGACGACCAAAAATTGCTCTCATCGATCGACGCATGTGACCGATTATTTGACCAAAAATCACATTTTAACCATTAACCACTCGCCGTATTCACCTGATATGGCACCGTGCGACTTTTACCTTTTCGGAAAAATGCATTTGGCCATGAAAGGAAAGCGTTATGCAGACGTAGAGGCCATTCAAAAGGCTTGCACCTGAATACTGGCGGCCATACCGGCCAACGAGCTAAAACACTCGTTCGACATGCTTTTGGATCGTGCAAAAAGCTGTATTGAAGCAGAAGGAGACTATTTTGAATAAAATAAATTGATTTTGCCGAAAAAAAACATTAGTTCTGTTTTTTTTTTTTTAAAGTCCTGTTTACTTTGGAATACACCTTGTATATACAAAACAATACAGCCCTTTTCGCAGTAAAAAAAATCCGGATTGTTTACCCTGGACACAAAGGGTAAGGGATATACTAGAAAGTTTAAGTTTTAAATTTTTGGCAGAACCCATCACGAGACACATCGAAATACACATGTCAGTCCGACAGATCGGTTCAGAAATCATTCTTATTAGAAACACTTCTTTGCTTATTTTGAGACTATGTATATATATTATAAAGCTTAGCAAATAGATAATGTTAATTATTTGCTACAAAAGTCGTGCAAATAAATACTTGGACCTGATGATCGTGTCAAACCATCAATCACAAAAATATCGCTCTACTCTGTACTTATTAGGATTTTAAACTAGAGCGATAGGCACACATACATACATACATTCGTACATGGTTATTTATGAAAGATTTTCTCGTGTTTGCTAGTGTGCAGCTTCACGCCGATTAATCTGCGTTTCTCATTTGTTTGTGGTAGGAGTAGCACTTAGGACACAAACTTAAAATATTTGTGCATACATTTATACATATGCAAATGTATGTGAAAGAATATTTGGAAATCGGATTATAAAGTATAATAGTGGTCTCTTAATTTGTGTAATTGTGCTGTAAATTTACGGTTTATTAAAATACATACATATGTACATATACTCAAAAATACTTTTTTGTATGTGTGTAATGTCGGTTTGTTATGATATGGTGAAATGTATTTATGGAATTTATGGCTATTTGGCTATATTTTTAGCATAAATTACTGAAGTTGGCTGAAATAAATAATTGACGGAAGAAATTTGCGATTCGCGCGTGTCTATAACGTGCATACATATGTACATACATACATACACATGCATTGGTATGAAAATTATATACATATATGTATGTATGTGAGCATTCCCGCTGTATTCTGCTGACAGCGAATAATTTCTGTGAAGAACATAACTTTGTTTACGTTTTGTTTGCACTGCAAGCTTTATATACATACGAGTATGAGTGTACATATACATACATATGTACATATATACGTGCGTGGCTTTGTATATACAGTGAAAATTCTCTTAATTGACAACTCCTTTATTTGGACAGCTCTTTATTCTTGAGCAATCGTTCGGGGGGTACTTAATAGTTAAGGGGATAAGCGTTCCTTCCCTTGGGCGGACAACAGTTGGTCGACGGTGAGTGTCCGGTCAGGAGAGTTCTCACTGTATATGTAAATACATGCATAGGTTGTATATGTGTGTTGAATATCGATGCATTTGTTATTTTATATCCGATCTGGTAGCGCCAAAGGCATTGCAAACAAAAGTTGGTCAACACTTGTTGACAATTGGATACAGCTATCAGGCAGCTCTTCTTTGATCCTTTTGCTTTTGCATTTGATTCAGCGAACACCAGCAGAGCGTTATTTTTTCACTTAAAACGTACAATTATATTAATTAATTAGTCTTCTCAGCGTTCTTTCGCCTTCTATTGACTTTTTCATTAGCAATAATTCACTTCGCAAAAGAGTGGGAAATTAAAAAACAAATTTACGAAAGAAATTGCACTACTCTTGATTTTGATTTTCTCGCTCAGTGACGCAGCAGTTTGTCGCTGAAATGGCAGCCTGCAATAAGGAAAACAACGACCACGCATGCGGTAAGTGCAGACTTAGGGAGTATTATATTATTAATAATTAGATTATGCGCCTGAATGGCGAAATTTGATTGATGTACGTCAGCGACCAACTCACCACCCCTATTGACTGTTATCCAGAATCATTCTATTTGCATATTTTTGATCCGGTGGCCAATTTCAACGATTTGCTCGTTTTTATGCGATTTTTTATGGGATAATATTAAACGCTTTTCCTCTTTTTTATATCACATAAAAAGCGAAGGGTGTAACACACGCACACACACAGTAGAGCAGCTATCCGGGGGTGCTGATGATTTGTGCGCTTAACCCGCATATTAAACTCGATCGCTTAGCGTTTCAATACGCGTTTAGGAATTTGCGCACCGCTACGCCACTGCATTGTCCCCACAAGGCCAACTTTTAACCACTTCCCCCTTGTCCTCGTTCCATTCATCGCTTCTGGCATAGTTCGTCCAGTTTATTGCCGTAGCGCGGCAAAAGTGTTAATACAACAACAATTTCAAGCATGCACGGCTTTTGGTCTACAAACTGCTGCTGCCAACGCACTCATGCGTTTTCTGTTTGTGTGTGTGTGTAGTCGCCGAGTGCTTGAAAGGGGGGGGAGGCGGTTGCAGTAGTGCAGCATAAACAAATGGCAAATAAGCACAAGCACCTCTCATCGCACCAGCTGCGGTTTGAAACTTTGCATTTACCGCATTTTCCTTTCCTTCTCCATAAATTTCAAAGCTTTAACTTTAATTACCTAATTTGGAATGTTTGTCTATGTACTTTTCTATCGAACATTTATACATGCAACATACATACAAATGTATGTATATATGTAAGCCTCGTAATTTTATTTCTTGGCATTAAATTGGGGCGGCCAAAAAATTTTCCATTCTCAATTTGCTCCCTTCCTTTGCTGAGACAGAAGTTTGTCGTGCTTGGAAATCGCAGAAATTTCCACATGAACGATTATTTTGCGCTGACGGCCGGCCAAGAAACTTACAGTCAACACACAAGTATAAGTAGAATGTGCTAAACAAATAATTTATTAATTATTCCCAATTTCCTTCATTTATTTATTTTTATGTATACGGTTTTTTGTTTTTTTTTTTTAATTGACTTACTATTTGCATTTTTATATATGTACATATTTATTTTCTATTTTTATTTCCTATTTTGAATTTAAGTAGCGTCTCAATATTTCTTTTAATATAAAAATACTTTTTACTTTTGAGAAACGGGAAGATAGTGAGGTTCAAAACATTTATGATAAGTAAATGGGAAGGTTTAAAACAGTTAATCCTTTTATGCAATGAAAGACCTAGATCTTGTAAAGAGTCTACATTTTTCTTGGGATAACTACAGTATTTATTCTTTTAGTACCAATATTGTATCTATTGTACCCAATATTTTAGGCAAATTATCATTTATTAATGTATCGACATAAAAATAATGATTTGGTTTAATTTTTCACAATTCTAAAGTCTTCACTGTCCCTTAATTAAAACCTTTACACTTCAAGAACTTTCAACATTATATTAGCACTTTTAAAAATAGAGTCTTCCGATTTTTTCTTGCAGGCGAACCAATAATTATTACCCATTATGTGAATCCGCAATTATTTTGGTATACTCCGCTGAAGAAGTTGCACGGCAGCGCCGCTCAAGCTCTCAAGCTGGAGAAGAAATTGCCCGCGCAATGCGTTTCATCCAATCAACTGGACAGTTATGAAAAGGAGCAGCATGTGATCGTGCGCTATAAGCCGCAATCGAACCCACAGAAATATCTTCGTGGTGTGGTGAAGGATTGGCAGGACGATGAATATTTGGTGTGGGCCATGGATTATGGCTTTCAAATCATCAGCTCTTCGAGATTCTTGTGGTGTTTGCCAACAGAATTGTCGGAAAAAATAATGGACATTGCCATTGGCGGAGTGGCTAATGTATTGCCTTGGAATGGCAAGAACTGGAGTGCTATGGCTCAAAAACTTTTTGGGCTGCAGCTTTTAAAGGCACACCACCTTAGCTTCAAGCCTATGCAGCAGAATCAGCGACAGCAAAACTTTGGACAATTGCTTATGAAGTTAATTGATTGTAACGAATATCTGGTTGATGCCGCTGAGTATTTGGTGTTAAATCAGTTCGCACGTATCGCAGAAAAGGACCATTTTCAGCTTGACATGGACAATTATTGGCAACAGTCTGAAGCCACTCATCTGGCTGAGATTAACGATATTGGCAATCTTGGTGGTGTAGGTTCCCGCAATATTATCAAGCTGGTCAAGGCAGCTGGGTTGTTACCCACCAAATCTATTGATCCCAACAACTCTCCAATCTTAACTAATGGAGACTCTACCTTTGCTGACATTTATTTTGATTCCCACAAAGTTCTGCATAAGGTGGAGCCCTGGAGCCAGGAATGTAAAGTTCGCCATAGAAATGGCTATTACCAGATTGGGGGCCTAACACGCCCTCTCACGCGTCCTTCGGCACAACCGGAAAAGTTGAGTGTTCTACTGCAGCAGCGAACTGTGCCACCAATACCATTGACGGCGAAACTTCTAAGCAAGGTCAGCAGCAAACTTGATAATCCGGTGGAAACAGCTTTCGAAGTAAGCAGCGACACTAGTAGTGCCTGCGGAAGCTCCAGTTCGTCCAATTCTGACATCGAAGAGGATGCACCGCGCCTGCAATGTTTGCGTGCGCTGGTAGCTGACAAATCAACGGACTCCACAGAAAACTCAGCCGCTGCAGCTTTAGGGGATGAGGAAGTCCTGCACAAGGAGCAGAAAATAATTTATCCAACGTCCATAGGCGCCTCAATAGAAGTTCAAATGAATTCAATCCCGATTACATCTTCGGCTGTGTCGAAAGAGCCATTAAAGACTCATTCCGAAGTAGAAAAAACTATCGATATTAAATATCCGAACGCTGTGAAATCAGCAGAGCGTACTCATGCTACCCCTTTAGTCTCTAAAGCTCCTGAAAAGATGTCTGCTCGGAGTGAATTCAAGCAAATCAAAGCAAATGAAAACAGAAACGAGAAATATACGAGCCTTGTGAAGTCAGCGGAGCCTCTTCATGCAGTTCCATTTATTTACGAATCCCACGAAAAGTATGATAAGACGCCAGTTGTAAAGGCAACAAAGATTAACTTAAAAGCAGATGAAGACAATAAGTATACAAACCTTTTAAGTTCAACGAAGCCTTTCCCTCTCGGAAATGTGGCAGAAACCCCAAATGTTCAAAATCGTATATTTCCAAAGCCACAGGATCCTTCACTAACTAAGGAGAAGTTAGACCGTATCTTCAATGAAATGCTTGGGAAAACCTCGTTGGGTTCCCCACTCAGGACGGGCACGTTCAATAGCAGTCCGAAACAAGCCATCCCCAAGAACGTCTCTGGCCTCAGCCACATAAACAATATGGTGTTGGCACATAGCTCTGTGGAATTGATACCCTTGAGCAACGTCCAAGAGTTGCCTTTAGGCGCCTCCATTCATCAGGCCATGTGCAATAAGAACTTTCATACGCCATCCCCAATGCAAAGTTATGCCTGGCCCCATCTAATGCAGGGGAACTCGATGCTGCTGATCAATAGCATGGATACCGGAAGGTCTTGGAGTTATTTGCCACCGCTCTGTACGCTTGTTATGCAGCAAATGCAGATGACAGTAATGACTGGGGTTGGACCGCTTGCCGTGCTGGTGGCGAACAATCAGGAGAATGTCAACATTCTGGCCCAACATTGCTCTTTCCTACTGCAGTACTACGAGACTATAAAGTACAAAGTGATAAATGCGGGTGCCATTCAAATGGGTGATGTGTGTAGCATGTTGCTGAGCACTTGTGGTATCCTGGTGACCACAGCGTCTTGTTTGGTCATTTTGCTGCAACATCACAGCAAAGGCATTCACATCTTCGATGCCTCGCGCTTAAGGCATCTTATTTTCGATGATTATGATCTTATCAGAACCGCTGGTCCACTAATACTGCAACAAATTTTAGACCAACTGAAAGGCATGTCCTTACCGCGGCTGCAACTTATAATGGTGGCTCAGCAGTGGCGCGCGTCTGAATATATGCCACTTATTAAACGGCAGGCACGCAATCCACTGCTTCTTTTTGGCGACTTTCTGGAAGCGGCCATGTACGGCTCTATAAAATTGGAAGTCGTCTTTATGCAGTCTATAAAGAAGTTGCCAAAGCTTCTGGAGTTTCTAGACTCACGCATGTCGCTGCAGGAACGCACGCTAATTTTCTGCAAATCACTAGAAGAAGTGGGCACTTTACGCAAAGCGTTGCTCTCAATTGGGCTGCAGTCTGGAATGGCCAACGAATCGCAAAGTGAGGTAAGAGAGGTGTCTAGTTTTAATTTTCTGAAACGAACTCTGTTGTGGGGAATGTTTGAAACCAACAAGAGAGAGTGCTACAGTCGAGCATGCCCGACAGTTAAAAACCCTGTAAACTTCCGGCACTGATTTATATCCGTTCCTAGCAGAAGCAAAAAGATAAGAAGAGCGAACTTGATGCTGCAGTTTGTGGGCGTAGTACTGGAGTGAAATTGTTTCGCTAATAACTTTTCTTAGAATAGACCGTTTTGGATGAAATTTGACACCAAAGTAGATATTTGTATATAATAACAATATAATATATATATAATATAATATATATATAATAATAATTTGAACTTGTATAGCTTAGGGACTAGGAGCGTCTATATACCAAGTTTGGTTATATCGCTTCCGAAATCCAGGCATTCATCCAGACGGACAAACATGTCTAGATCGATTTCTCTCGTCATGCTGATTCAAAATGTATATACTTTATGGGGTCGGAGATGCTTTCTTCTGCCTGTTACATAATTTGCAAAAACCTAATATGTATAGCCTTTTTACCCTGCGGGTACAGGGTATAAAAAGACGATCTGCAATCGTTTTACAATTGAACACTGGACAGAATCCAACTATCTTAATTGCAGACGGAACGAATATTGCTGCTCACGGATGATCTTGTCACAAACAACTCATCTGTGGTGACACTGCGGGACATTCAACTCCTGGTCCACTACAACCTCTCCCACTCGTGGTCAAGTTTCTCGTCGCGTTTTCGGTTTGTTACGGGCAACATTCCAAATTATTTTTCCGAAAATCGATCGGAGAAATATATTACCTCCTTTATCATGCTAGATGAAACCAATAAGTTGGAGCTGCCCCGACTGGTGCAATTTCTCCATGCACACGGCATCAGACAGGAAAAACACATAATGCAGGCTGCAGCTGATTGTCAAATGCATTCGGAGCAGGGTCATGCTCTCTGCCAGAAAACACTCAGCGTTGGAACGCGTTGTCTAATGTCATGCCGCTATCGGCACTATTTGGTCAAGGCGGATGTGATGAATGCACCGTTTACGCAACAGCCAGACACACTCATTCGTGTCCAAGTGGTGAAGGTAAGTCCTCTATTCCATATTACTAGCACAGTTTTTTTCTGAAGAGTAGCAACTCTTTTTTTATGGGTCTTATCAAATTAATAAAAACAGTTTTTTTTCTTCTCAGTGATAAGAAATAAAAACATAGTTTTTCCTTAGCCAACGGTAGGTCGTTAGGCTGGTGTAGGCTATATTTCCATGTTTAAACACTTTCTAAGATATCTCAATATCTTTCTTTCTTGACTATATATTATTATACTTAAATATACATTTTGTTTCTTTTTTGATTCCAATTTTAGTAACAATTCCATAGTTTAAAGATACACTTTATACATATATGTGACATATAGTTGCTATTCTTGGTTTTATTCTATAGAATCGTGGTTTTTATTTTCATTTTTATTGCCCTATCAGGTCTACAGTCCCGTGCATTTGGCTATTCGTCCATTATGCTACAAGTTACCAGGATGCAATAAATGGCGCCAAATCTCATCGAGTGTGGCTCAACTGGCATTAGCACTAAATGTTTATATGGGTATACCGGAAAACCGTCGGCCATATCGTCAGCCGCGCATTAATGACATCTGCCTCATTGAACGGTCAACGGGCTTCAAACGAGTTCGTGTGGTAAATTGTCAATATAATGGATCATCGCTGCAAGTCCAGTTCATGGACGATAGCACTGAACCCATTAACGTTGGCATCTCAGAGCTGCTATACTGCGCTACCCCATTCCAACGCGTACCACCGCTCGTCATCGCGGTTCGTCTCCCTGGCATAGTTCCTGTCATGGGTGAGGTTACATGGTCCCGAAGTGCGACGCAGTGGGTAGAGTCTTTGCTTTGTAATCTCAATGAGTTACAACATGTGCAAATGGTCGTTGACTTCGCCCTTAAGTCCTCAGTCTATGTTAAGGACATTTTCGTGATTCAGGACTGCCCCCAGATGGGTACTAGTGTTAAGAAGACGATGCTTTGCGGAGAACTATTGCGCGAGGGCTATGGCTGCATTAGGGCGGATGGGCCTGAAATGTTACGCAACATGTACGCAGAAGTGACAAAGATAAATTCAACTGATGAGGATCCTGCAGATCCACATTTTGGCCAATGGTTAGACTCAGACGAAGATGGAGCCGAGGCTGAGTTGCCTGCGAGCCCTACCCTTAAAGATGAAAAGCAGCTAACAAGTCCAAGTCCTGCAGAAATTGTAGATAATCCAGATGTTGGACAGTGGTTGGATTCAGATTATGAAGATTCAACGCCAGTGGAGACAAACGCGCAATATTTTAAAACTCAGAGAGACTCTGGAGAAGACTTTGTGAAGCAAAAAAAAGACAATTGTAAAAATACAGCTCGATCTCCAGAATTCCGACACCTCGTTGACTCCCAGCACTCAAACACAACCAATTCGATAGCTATTAAAGAAACAAGCAACACTTCAACGACCGAATTTCTGAATGTGTTGATCAGAAATCTTAAAGAAAAAAAGGATGATGTAAAACCTAACAATACACAGCAAATGATGGAGGAAATAGTGTACGGCATAGACGAAAGATTGAACACCGTCAGCTCGAAGTCCAGTACGCGACAGAGCAAAAAGAAGGTGTTGGTGGCGTCTCATGAAAAGTCCGTCGACGCTGCTGCCCTAACTACCTACTCGCTCCGATTCAGTGCTGTAGCCGGCGGTGCAGTGCGTCCCTCAATCAAATGGAAACAGACCCTCCGAACAATCGTCATCACTATAGAGCAACAGTTGCCCGAATATGAGTTGAGACATAATAACAATACGTTATTCTATTCTGTGCCAACCACAGCACCACCACAAGGTTGCATTCTTAATTTGCTGGGCGATGTGACAGTTATATCGGAAAAACAGTGTGGCTATTATCTGCAGGTGAAGCTGGACAAGGTTATTAAAACCATTTGGCCAACTTTGCTGCGCACGGCAGTTCCCCAACATTGGTTGACCTACGATACGGATCCGGATGGCGAATTAAGCTCTCAAGAAGCTAAAAACTATAGATTTAAATCGATATGGCAGCAATGCTCTGAGTTCGAAGCCAAAAACCCTGATTTCGATTCGGACTCATCCGTGGATGAAAGTGAAGAAAATTCCACTGAACGCGCCATATTAGGGGATGACTTAGCAGACTAATTGTTCCTACATGGGCTCCACAGCGATTCTTTTATAGCTCCGTAATTTTCAAAAATCAGTCGACATCTCGTTCTCTTCTAATTTATTAACCTTTAAATGTGTCCTATTTTTTTTTCTTTTAAGACAACCAATCATCCTCACTCTACCCATAGAAATTCATTATAAAACAATCTCAAATTTCATTTAATACGATACATTTACACTTTAAAAAAACACTTCCCGTTACTACCAGTTATGATTGGTTCTATTTTAAGAATCAATTTATGTTTTCTGTTGAATGCTTTTTATTTTAAAATTGTATAATTATCTCACCCTACATTTTAACAAAAATAAAAATAACACATAGAGATCCATTTGTTTATATTATATTATTAGATAAAATAGGTTTGGAATTTTAAACATTCCTTGTCAGCATTATTAAAAATGTAGTTTAGCGATCATGCCAAAGAATATTAAAGGAACATGCTTTCTAAGAAAAAAATTTTTGTTAATATATCAGATCAAAAATAACTGTTAGAAATTATAGTTGTTGTAGGAGTATTTTGGAAATCCTTCTTAAGCGTAAGAAGTACTTTATAAGGAACAAGTTAAGCGTAAGAAAGTGCTTTATAATGAACAAATTAGAAGTCCTCACTGACGGCCGAACCCTGAGGCAGATTATATTCATTTTCCATAATATGTATTATCACCTGCCCTATCATATTCATAATCAGGGCATTCGAGTTTGCAGTTTCATGATCGCTCGCATGGTACGATATAGGTTCGAAACGTTGCAAGGCTTGACACGGCAACTTTTTACCAAAGATATTACGTTCCTGCCACGATTTAGTAGCCAATATCATGGGCATAATATATTCTTCAATCTGCTTTAATATTGTCACTAGAGTCGAGTCACTTATGTTCCATTTATAGCGTATTTTCAAGAACAGCACCTGAACATGCTCATACGCGTCCCGCGGCATGATACAAACAGCTTCCATTATCTCGTTCATGTAGAAGCAACGCTGTATGCGCACACATCGGCCGGCAGCATATTCGCCCAGGGATATGTCCGGTTCCAGCAGCACACTGTAGCTTTGCCAAGTATTGGGATACTTCACGAAGGTTCTGCCCCCACTTCCTTTGTACAATTTGTGTGTAATGAGCAATTCCACGGACTTTAGTTCGCGGATCGCCTTAACTTGCAGCCTCCACGGCGCATCAATGGCTAAATGCAGCTCGGGGGTCAGCTGGCGACAGGCCTCTGAGATATTGTACTTAAATAGTTTTAATAAGTCCATGGTGTCACATTCGTGCAGTTTAAGGATCTGAGCTAAGTCCAAATATTGTAAAAGCTTGAGTGAGCATTTGGCGGTGGGGTAAATTCCTCTGGCCCGTTGACCGTCGAAGTGGCAATGCGTGTAATTCATGACTGCCGGTATTATATCGTGTCGAAAGCTCGGCGTCCTGGTGATTGGAATAAAGAAGGCGGAATGACGTCGGGGCGTGTGTGCGGCCAACGAATGCTTTGTTCGCAACTCGCTAATGCACAGTGTAGTGTTTATGTAACAGCTTTGCATTTTGTTTATGGCATTTAAGGCTATTTAAAGAGAATTTTAACGTTAGCAGAAATCGCAAAAACGAGTACGGCACTGCCAGCATTAAACAATTATTTGCTGCCCGGCCAAACGTTTCGCTTCCTAGTGCTAGAAAACAACACTGGCCTGATTGACAGTAATTAGTTGGCAACACTTTTAGTTTTTTCTTTCATATCGCAATAGGGTGAGAGTTTTTCAACGTTCGAGTAAACATTCGGAAATCACACTGAACGATTCGGTGCGTTCTATTCACTAGCATGACTTCGTCTAGTGGGAAACGCAGTGCCAGTTACTGGCGCGAGCGATCAGCAACTCTGCCAGCGTTTGTATCGCCAACGCCTGAAGTTGCTTTACAGCATCGCGCTTCGATACTCTGGGCGCCGAAAGAGGAGCTACCCGACGACGGTTTACAGGATTATTTGCAGTTCGCTTACACCAACTACTCCATTGAGGAGGAGCAGGCATTATACATATTGCGGCAACAGAGCTACGACCTAACCCTCGCCCGTGATCGCTTGGCAAGCATTGAGACTGCGCGCGGTTGTCGTTTCTGCCGCTGGCGGGCTAAGGACTTGTTGCATATTTGCAAAGCACTCAAGAAGCATGGGGTTGACTACGAAAAGGTTGGAAAGGGTCTGCCCCATATCCCAATCGCTGATATGAGAAGTTTTGTTAAGTTTATGAAAGTGCCTATAGATTTAATCTAATGAACTTGTTTCGCAATCATCTGAATTCGCGTTGGGCTGTGTTATTCTATAATATTTATCCAATAAAGCTTTTTTTGCAATTGAGTTTCATTAAAATTTGTCAATATTGGGCATCTCGTTTCTGAACAATATGCTGAGGCGGTCGTCCGATCGAATGATCCCAAATAGTGGTAGGACGGGGGAGGAGGATATTGGCTTAGGATCGAGAAAAACCTTGCTAAAATGTTAGGGACTGTCAGTCCCGGCAGAGTCGTGAACAGCGGACGCAAGCAAGCCGGTAGAAGCAATGGAGTCGGTGGAAAGGGGACTAGGCTATCTACATATCTGGGACGGGGATTCTAGCCATTCTACCTACTTGTAAATCTCATGTGAATTGAGTTCACCTCAGTCGCTGTATAGGTTCAGATGTTGAAGCCCAACGACGCTCGTACAGCTATCGAGATCTCGGTATAAACAAGAAGATGAGCCCTTGGTGCCTGCGGAGTGAAAAGTCAAGCCCCAACTTGGGCTGCCTAGAAACGCTGCACTTTGTACACCTCAAAGGTATAAATGGAATCTAGGATAATCTTTTCGGGACCCTAGAAAAATTAATAATTGGGAGAGTCAATGCCTTCCATACATACATATCTACATTGTTAATGAGTATTATATGTACATTCTTCATATGTATATTATTTAATTTTGGCGTTTCTCGTGGACAACAGCTGGTTGGAAATGGTGGAAGAGTGCTTCGTTTCATTAAATATTTATTGCTGCTGCTGATATATCAGCCATTGATACATATCAGTTTTCAAAATTTAATTTTTAGTACCAAATGATTTCAATACAAATAAACATGAAAACTCAGTGTGATCACAATTTCAAAACAATCGATTGCACAGCTGATAATTAATGGCATTAGAAGAAGTTACTCTTCGTTCATAACATTTCGATAAGCTAGGAGGTGAGGACGCAGATGTGTTCACTATTTCTTATCGATAAGGGCACACACATTTTGATGTATGCATTTATCGATACAAAGTAATGACATGTTGCGTGTGAGATTTCGGGCTGCTGGCAACAGCCTGTTCACCAGGTGCTGTCCATATGTTAGTGCAACGAGGGTCCTTGGGTGTTTCCTCTTTGGATAAAAATGTTTTCCAACGTTCATGACTAATTTTGATCGCATGGTGCTGCCAAACTGACTTCCCCGGTCTATGATAGTTAACGTTGTTTGTTAACTCTAGTGTTCTCAGTGCCAAGTGGATGTTGTTTGGCAAATTCCATTCATTATTTTTGCAGTTTTGTTGGAAAATGCTTATGAGGGAGTTTATCTGCTGCCAGAATGCTCCGATCTGCCAAAGTGCAGGGTAACCTGTTGATACGCAGGGGAAGATTTCTAAGAATCTTACACCTCATCCTCCTTTTATATTAATCGTTTTTGGCAATAGGGTTATCATATATACGGGTTCTGAAGTTAAGGGCTTCATGTTTTTCTGTGTTGCCTAAGGTCTATAGGATTTTTCTTCGTTCTACTGGATGTAGAAAACTCGTTCAATCCCTTTGCATGAATTTGGTCCTACCTTTCATCGGTTAGATCTCATAATCGGTGATTTTTTGGAGAAACTACCATGGTTTATGGAAGTCTTTGACTGCTAAAAAGCTACGTTTCGCCATCGTTTGCAGCACTCACCACTCTCGTGAAATCTCTCGTTGAGCCCCTTCTTGGTAAAGGACTGTGGAATTATGAAACAGATGATGTTTCCACCAGCAGATCCAAATTTGTACGCCCCACCCTTAACGAGGCTAACCCTTGGACGGGTGATAATAGTAAACGATTGTACACAAAATAAAAGGACACATATTAGTTTCATTGAATTTTCGGGAGCAATGAAGAACAGTTATTTGATTTATTATATCTTTGTTTTCACATTTGTACATACAAATGTATGTATTGATAATACAGATTTTATCATCTGAACATTTTTAATACTAACAATTAATACAAAGCATTTTTCTTTAAATACTTGAATACCCTCTCTAAGCATAGAATTTAAATCTATCTAGATGTATATTATTATTTGTAGCCTAACATTTACATAAATACATATGTTTTTGTTTAGCATTTAGGTTCTATTTCTGAAATATGTACAAATTAAAATAGATGAAAAATTAAAACGAATTTTGGCTTCAGACTATACAAACAAAACAAAATCTTTCAAAAAATGTGATAGGAATAATTTGTTATCCTTCAGTCTAAACTTTAACCTTGAATTTATGTTTCTATATAGGTTTGTACGACTTAATTAATTGTATGAGTTCTTGAAATCACAAAACTTGAATAAGGTCTCATTTCTATTCGATTTTCAAGATTGCATTCAATATTCGTTGTCATAACCATTGTGCCTTGCAGAAACATAATAGTTAATAGAATAGAATTTTTCGGTAGATTTTAAGGATGGGTTAAGTGTTAAATCGTTTTGACTATGCGTGCGGCTATGGGTGTTAGTACTTGTACTTATCATAAACCTATGAATATTGTTGCTCCATTCCGTAGATGTGTGCTGCTAGGTGAGAGTTCCTCGACTATTAATAATACAATGTGGTTTAAGTTCTAGGCATAGGCTATATAGACAGTGATGGGCTTCTACGCTAATCTATAAACTAAGTCTTTTCCGTATTTTCCTTTGGATACCCGATACACTTAAAACAAACTACTCTGCTTGGCGAAGCTGCAGCTTTGCAGGGTCATCGTTCCTGCAGGATGTGCGTGTAGATTTTGGTGCGATGGTGGTGCCGTAATGGGACCCCAAGACAGCCGCTTTCAGTTCGGTCGCAATGGCAGCATGCTATAATGTTGTTGTTGTTGCTGCTGCTGTTGTTGCTGTTGCTGATGCTGCTGTTGAAGTAACATTTGTTGCTGTTGCTGGTGCTGTTGTTGCTGTTGCTGCTGCTGCTGTTGGGTTGTGGCTGTTGTTGTTGTGCCCTGTGGACTGGTGTAGGTAACCGCGCAAGCTGCCGGCTGTGACACCACCACAGGTGCGCTCACCTTGCGTTCGGATTGGGTGCGTATGGGTTGTGGGTGAGCGGCTGTGGGCTGTGGGGGCGGTGCATACATCAGCATGGGTGGCGGCGGCGGTGAGGGTTCCACGCTGGGATGACGTGCGGGCGGGGTGACGGCTGAGCCATGATACGAGCCATAGGAACTATCATCGGATTGCGCAGACTGGCCGCGATTGCGCGGTGCACTAGTCATGCCATAGAGCTGAGCATCGCCTAGACCGCGTCGCTCGAACTTGTGATTACCATCTAAGGGCGTAGGATTCGTGCGGGTGCCGTAGACCGGCTGGAAGCCCTGCTGCTGTGGCTGTACCTCCGAAATCAGCGGCTGCACCTGTTGGGGTGGCGGTCCCTGCATATGTTGCTGCTGCTGTGACTGCTGCTGTTGCTGCTGGGACTGTTGCTGTTGTTGGGATTGCTGCTGCATAGGTGCCGGTTGTTGCTGTCCGCGCATAGAACCTCGCATACCGTATATACTTTCCGATCGCTGCTGCATCTGATTCTGCAGGTTCTGATTTTGTAGATGCGACGATTGCTGTTGTTGTTGTTGCTGCTGCTGCTGCTGCTGCTGTTGCGTACGCATCGGATAAAGACTCTGTGCGGGCACCAGGGGTCCCGGTCTGGGCACAATGTCCCGATTAATAGCCGTATTGCTCTTGGCATACACCGACTGGGATCGATTCAAATTGCTGCGCGTGAGTGTAGGCGAGCGGCAATAGAGCGAACGAGTGCCACCATAGAGCGGCTCCTGCTGCTCATACTTGCTGGAGAGTGGTGGTGCGGTATACAGATTCTGACAATAGTTGCCAGCACCACCGACCACTCCCACACCTGCCATTTGAGCCATATTGGCACCTGCATGCGGAGCACCACCCACAGCGCCGCCATTGCTCTGTCCTCGTGGATACCCGCCCGTTGCCTGCTGATACTTATGGGGCTTCTCCAGATCCATGTCGTAGTTAAGCTCATCCTCGGAGTGTATGGAACTGGAGTCGTTGTCGATGCTGCCCTTGGCATGGCGCAGATTGCGACGCGAATTAAAAACGTATTCGTAAACCAGGCCGGAGGCTATGCCACCAACAAGCGGACCGAACCAATACACCCAATGATTGTCCCATTTGTTCAGCACAAATGAAGGACCCAACGAGCGTGCTGGATTCAAGTAGGGCATCTAGAATAGAATGAAGAAAACACAATAATCAGTTTTTGGAAGGACGCTTTCAAAGTCTAGCCAGTTTTTATTATGTGTAAACAATGCTGGTAAACAATCACTTGTGTAAATCTTCTAAGCACTGTGGATGCTTAAATAAGAAACAGATCAAAGCTATCCATAAGCCTACTCCTGACAAGAGTAAAGGTTGCACATCCATAAACAAAATCCCACAATGATTTCTGCAGAAGCTGCAGAGACATAGAAGAGGAGGAAAGCACAGAACACCTGTTCTGCCACTGCCCTGCTTGAAGCAGCCGAAGAATAGCTACACTAGGGCGACCATTTCTCAGCAATCTAACAAAAATACCCAGTATTGAGATTGCGAGCTTAATCAAATTTGGCAAATGTTCCAGGACCATCACAATCCATCGAGATGGTGAGCAACACCCAGCCATCTGAAACTAACCTAACCTAATATCCGCAAAGGTTTATTCTCTAGCTCTATCGAGATGAGCTGCTGAGGCATTTCATAATTTTATTTTTTTGACTTTCTTCTTAAATTTACTTAATTTCCTACATTTGGGCAATTAAGATTGCTTCGAAATAAATAATCAAAGCTGTTGCATCCATTTGCAAATAATAATTTACGCTTCAGCATATGGATCAAGGGTGTTCCCCTTAAGCGACTCCCACTGTAAATACCGTGACCGATCAGGGCCGTTATGTTAACAATGCGTGTTGTTGCCACGCTAGCCTGCCCTGACTTGCCAATTTAATTACCAACCTTGTCGCTTCTCTATACCTGCGCTCTGATGTTGTCTACCTGAGCAACGACCCTTTAGCCAGTTTATCGCGCATGCTGCGATTTTTGCGTGAAGCGCTCTCTGCATTAAAATGCCAAAACGGCAGGTGTGTTTTTGTGATTTCAGTTCATCAGCAACAACATCGTTATTTTTAGCCAAGTCCAAGTTAAGGCATTTTAACTTACCGACACAAAGCAACAGGCACTGTAGGCCGTGCCAATGGATATTGCCGAATTGCCCATGAACTTCTTAACGGAGTCGGTGGAGACGAAATAGCAGAGCACAACAACAAATGTGAGTATGAATTCCACACCGAAACGCTCCCAGCCGGCCAGCGAGGCGCTGTGTGAAATCGCCGCCTGGAGATTACCCTGGTAACCGGGTACAGTAACGCTGTTGGGAGATAGAAAAAAGAAAAAAAAAATTATGTTTGATTACTGATTGACTCGACTCATTCACTGGCTATCGAAAGTTGTGCTACAAAAGTCAATAGCAATTTATAATGCCTATGACACTTTTTTTCATTTCGTTATTGACGCAGTCATGCTCACTCAATTCCAATACCAATTCCACCCTAACCCTCGAATCCATACAGCTTAAGGTCTCAGCCAGCTACCCCCATAAACATGGCACATGGCACTCGCATACACAACATAATTTAGATTGTCAAAGTTTCAATTACCAAGTTACGAAAGTTGGTGCCTATTTCTAGGCTGTCGCTTTTTGTTGAGCGACAAGCTCCTAAATCGTGTGTGTGTGTGTGTGTGATTGGGGGTGGGGCATTGTACCTAAAGTGTAAAAGTTGTTTGAGTCGAGTTTTATGATTTATTAAATTGTTGATAATGCTGATGAGTTCGCCTCCCAGCAGTTGGTGCTTCTGTAACAATTTAACACACACTCGTCTACTGACATACGGATATGCATAATGGAAGTCAAGAATTTGGGGAAGCCATAATATGGAATAAGGAACAAGAGGTACTCTTCTAACCACAGCTCAGCTGGAGCGTTTCAAGCAAATATTTTGGTGCTGTGCTGAGTTCTACGAGGAAATTTTCAATTAAAAGTGTTGGTTGCAGTCATGCATTTCGTTGAATGCCCGTAATATTTGTTAAGGGAAATTTCAAACAACATAAATTATAGTGTAATGTAAGGTGTTTGTTTATTAGTCCCGCTTCTAACCATCTCCCACAAAAAGAAATTGTTGCGGCTTTAATGAATTCCGAAACAAATATGAATTTTATATTTTTGTACAAGCACTCAAGGAATTGCGAATTCAAACCGAATAATAAATAAAATAAAAACAGGAAACTGTAGGTATAACAACTATAAAAGATAATTGCATAATTTGCATTTAATTATGTTTCCTTTATATATCTAGCTTATTCCCAGAAAACCACGCTACCCAGAATGTAATGGATAGAGTGGAGTTTTCTCTTCTTTTTGCTGCTAGTTTGCTTTTCCCGTTAGTATTTTTGAATAAGTAACCCCTACCCTGAAAGTTTCTGGAACGTCAGGATAAACAACTGTTTGTTGTTTGTTGGCTTCATAAGAGAGCATCTCTATGATCAGGAATTGGCTTAGCTTTAGCTTTAGTTATCTACTGTCAATATTGGGAAGCCACAGGTAGCTTTGATTGTAACGCTCAGTTCAATAAATGTTGTTTAAATACAAGTAAATGTTTTAGATATGAACAGAGTATTTTGATTTTGTGTGATTATAACAACATTGACCGACATTCAAAATCACTTATACAAGTATGTCAATTAAAAAAAAAAATAAACTCTTTTTTTTATTAGTAATTTACTACAAAATTTGCTTTCGATTGAAAAAGTTGGCAGCCAGATAGACTAACATTTCTCCAAATATATCGATTTAAAAAGTTTATTCCTTGTTGCACATTTTGAGAAATGTCACTGAAAAAAAAAACTTATTTTCTTTTGAAAAAAGTAATAGATACATGTGTATTTTGCTATTTCTTGCTTTGCCCAACCGAAAAAGTTAATTACAAGTATAAGTATTATCCTGAGAGATTGAGAGTGGAGCTTACGGCAGAGAGCAGGAAAAAATTATAAGCCTGGCTAAGGCAAATATTTGCTAAGCTTTTATACACACTTGGAAGCCATGGAGAGTTGATATAAGTTGGTGGCATAAAAACGTGAAAATCCGGAAATAAATGTGTGCGGAATGCACTTAAAAGTACTTCAACAAATAGCAGAAACATTTGTGGCAAATGGAAAAATGGTGGGAAAAATGGGGAAAATGGCAGTGACTGACGGTTGCCTTCAGAGGTGAAAAGTGGAAAGTGCAGGCAGGAAACTGTAAAGGTATAGTTCGGGAGCAAGCACACTATATGTATGTACGTGTATACGAGTTTATTCGTATATACTGTAAATATTTGTGGCTAGCACTAAGCGGCAATAAGTTGGGCATAAGCTGCACAAATGTGGCAATAAATCGCACCTAAAACAAATATGAAAGGCAAACGTTTGTGTATTTCACACCCAACTGAGAATAAACAGGAAAAACAATTTCTTTATTTAAGTTTTTGCCTTTCATTTTCCTTTCTTTCTCATGAAGTACTAATTTTAGAGCACGATTGTGGGCGTCTAGGAAGGCTCCTAAGTAGCAGGAAATAGCAAAAATGTTTGTCCAAGTTTATGTGGCGTTAAGCTTTTCAGCTTTGCTTCCTGCTCCAACAACAACAACAACCACAAGAAACAAATAATAAAAGCGCACTCCAACCAACAAACCAAACTGTAAACTAAAAATGTGTGTTTGTGTGTGTGCCTGGTTTGAAAAGGAAACACATTTCCTCACACATTTGTTGGCCAACCGCATCCGCATTGAAGAGTGAGGTTATGTGTAATGTCCTGGACTGCCTGCGCTCTGGGGGGCCTTGGGGTTACTGTCTCTCTCTCTCTCTCTCTCTGACCATCTGAATAAATATTGTTGGTTTTGTATGTGATTTAATGAAATTATGGCACGATATCAAATATTTGTGTTGCTTTATTGGCGAAGCAAACATGGCATTAAGTTGAATATCGCATGCATAACTCTTCTTTTGGAAGAGCTTTAAACATTTAAAAATTCCTTCTACATCTTCTAAGTCTTCTACTTTTTTTTAAAGCAGAAAAAAAGAAAGCTCATATTGCGATTGAAACAAAAAATATAGATATAGATATAGATTTTTTAAATATCACTTTCTACACGTTACATGATTAGCTTCAGTTGTCTGAGAAACAACTTAGGACTCTCCCAAAGAGATATTTTTGGCAAAATGTGTACAACAAACTTAAATTCGCTTAAACGCCTTTTTAAATATCTTACAGTGATGTACATTTAGAAGATTTTCAAATATTAGGAATTTTCAATTTTCAAAAATAAAAAAATTAACATCTATGCGACAAATGTGTTTAGTTATTGGAATCTTTCCTATTTTAATTGCTTTAATCTCCTAATTATAGCAAAGAATAGTTGAAGAAAGTTTCATTCACTACTCAACACAGGCAGGTATAGTTTTGAGAATGTCCCATGCTATTGTTCTACAAATATGTACTTCTAACTAAATAGATAGCAACAGCCAGCCATTTTTATAGATTTTAAATATGCAATACACCAAAATCTGATTTTAAACGGTCTTTTTTTACACGGTTTGAAAATAAAAGATTTCATATATATATATATACGTATTATATATATATATGTATTTCTTTAGAGATAAGGAACCTATTTTTGCATATCATCAATGTCTTTTTCTTTACACAGTTGTTTCTGGAACCAATCTACCGTGTAAAAATAGAATTAGGTGTATTCATATTTATGAAGTTCTTCAGAGAAAGAAATTAATCCAACACTGTATCAGCAGTTTTAGGATTCAGCTGCCACATACAAGTAAATCTGCATCTAAATGCAACTTTAATTGGTGAATACTTTAATTGCAGAATACTTATACATGCTACATACATACTATGTAAGTATATGTATGTTTCTGTGGCCACAGATGGCATACTTGAAAAAACATTCCCGCCCCCCTCCCCCTTTTCAGCAGTAAAGACTTTCTTAAAATTCGAATTGTCTCTAATTGGAAATTCAAATATTGTAAGCTGGACAATTAAAATGCCAAACACACACACGCACACACAAATTCAGGAAACATCGTCATTGTGTGTGGCAATGCAATTAATTACACGTTTCGAGTAAAAATATCTAACTTCGCACACAAACCGCAAATTTAAATTGAAACTTAAAGTGCAATTCGAACACCACAAAACGTTTAGTGAGTAGAGCAACAAAAACAGCAGTTACGAAAACAATAAACATTCCAGTATATTGTTGCTACGCTCCGTAAATTATTTTGCATAATTGATGGAATAAAAGACAAATATTTTTGCCCATCAATTAAATGGAGCAACAAGCCGGCCTTGGTGTAACTTTTCTGGTTGAATGTAGCAGCTGTTGTTGTTGCTGCTGGTGTTGTTGTTGTTGTCGCCTTCACAGTACAGCAACCGGATAAACCAACAACAGGATGCAGATTCAAATACGATTCGATCAGGCGAAAGGTGAAAAAAAAGTTTTCAGTATGCCATGACATGCTGAGCTCTGTGACACGAATTGATTTTTCCTTTTTAACGAAAAACGCAGGAAATGCATTTCCCCCATACAGCCAGATACAGATCGCAATCGCACCAACAACCACGCTATAGTGTATAGTAAGTGTCCGTAAGTGTCACTTTTAGAGAAAGAGAGAGAGAGAGGGTGTGTTATAAAGAGGTGGGTGGATGTCGTGAAGCATGTGAGGCACATGAAATATTATTCAAAAATAATTAAAAATGTTTAATATATACAAATTTATTAAAAAAATTGGAATATCAACGCAAATAAAGAATTTTTTCAAGATAGATAAGATATTTAAATATAAAACCGTAATGGAGTAATAAAAAAGCCATATTTTCAAAGCTTTTAATGAATTTAAAAAATATGAAAAATAGTTAAAATATTAAAACAAATATTTAAAAATATCTTTAAACGTATGCATTGATCGACAACACTTTAAATATAAAAACAATTAAAATAATTTAGAAAAGATCCCTAAATGTATTTTTTTATTAAAAGAATGGTTTCAAAATTAAGAAAATTACAAAAATATAAAAAATATAAAAAAAATATGAAAATATATGTTTTAAATGATAAAAGAGCTATTACATTTTGAGTATTTAACAAATTTAAAGTATAATAACAACTATTTTATATAGTATTAATGAAAATCAAATTTACGAGTGTGTGTAGTTCAAAACAGGCTTCTTCTTTGAAATAATATTTGTCCCTGCACCAAAAGATCAAAACGACTTCAGCGTAGGGTTTCCTCTCATTTAAATCTTCGCTGTCACGCACACATCGCTAGCGGCTACCACACACCGCATTGGCATTTCAAAATTCAAATTTCGCCTTTGTCGCTCTTTTTTTCTTTCCTTCCTTTTTCGTATGCTGTAGCTGCTGTTTCAAAAATCCTGTTTCTGTACTGTAATTGTATTTTTATTTTCATTTTCATTTTTGTTTTTGTTTTTTGGGCAGCAGGTGTGCGCTGTTAAGCATTTGTGTTTCCAGCTGCCCATCGCTGACCAACCAGAGAACGCAGCCAGGAGTCGCCAGCGAGCGACACGTGTTTGATTTCAAGTTTCAAGGCACAGACGCATCCTGCCTACAAAGAGTCGGTGTCCGACTCGTAGTCGAAGCCGACTTTTGTGAGTTGAATGCGGAGTCGAATGCGAAAGAGAGCAAGAATAAGTCGCCAAAAGGGTCAGACAAAATGTTAATTACATGTGCGCCTTGGCTGGCCGCCTTGGCTTCGTCGTCTACCTCTACCTGATTTTTATCTGCCATAATTTTCCAGTTTCAAAGGCTTCTTCTTTTGGAACGTGCTCGGCGCGCGATCGCCAGTCCAGGCACAAAAAAAAAAACGGAGAAAAAATTATAATAAGTACGACGAGGCATACATCAAAATGCAGGAGGCGCACAACAACAAAAGGAACGATAATTCAAAGCAACGCAAACGGATATCGATACTTAAAATTGCTGCGGGTCTGGGTCTGGGTCTGTCAGACTGTCACACAAACACAGTTCCGAGCAAAGACGACGCCAAAGAAGCTATCAAGGCTCTCAAGTGCGTGTGCATGCCCTTATCTCCACTATTTACTTAAGTAGACAAAAAATATAAAAGAATCCCGAAACATGTGCCATATGCGACTAAAGATAAGTTTAGTGGTTGGAGTTGGGGGTGCAGGGATACGAAACACAAGACAGCAGAAGTACTTACATACTTATTTTTACCAACAACTTAAACAAGTGGCAACTGACAAGTACAGCTGTAGAGACATAATTAGAATTTAAGCGAAACACTTTCTAGAAGACTTTCTGCGTAGCTCAAGTTAAAAAGATACCATTAACATTTAAACATGTAACATTAAAAGTTGACCTCATTAAGTTATAGATTACCTAAGACCTTCATCAAACTAAATGTGAGATTGAAATCAGAATGGATACTGAATTAGTTGCATTTATTAATACTTCTTTTATAAACCATATTGATACTCGGTTTGTGCAAAGTATATAATAGGCAGAATAAAGCATTTCCAACCCCATCTTTGTCTGTCTGTATGAACGCCTGTATTTGAGAAACGGCTGAGCCCACATTGAGAAAACTTGGTATGTAGATTCTCCTAGTCGCTAGTTAACACGAGTTTATTTTATTTTTTGCTTTCAACCCCCCCTTCCCTAAATACAGAATTTCATCAATATTGCACATAATTCCAAAGCTCTACATAAATCAAACTCGGCACACCTTAATCATCAGCTTTTGTTGAGTCTAAGAAAAGTTATTAGGGTTTCGCTCTTCTTATTCTTTTGTTGCTTCTGCTATGGGCACATATAAGTTTTTGCTGGTACAGGGTATTACACTGTCGGGCTTGCGCGACTGTAGCTTCTTCCTCTTGTAGGAAAACGCAAATATTAATTTCTCTGGCCATATTTGTGGTTTATAATCTGCAAACTGCATACAACTGCAAATGTGGTCAATCAAAATGATGCCTCATTATAACATCAATCGAACACATCAAGCATTCAACTCTTAACCTCATAAGAACCACAAAATCAAGCAGCCATATGAACAAAATCTAAGCCAATTAATCAGCATGGAATGCGGGGAAGAGCACATTTTGGTAACCGAAACATATGTTCGAGCTAAAATTTAAATTGTATACAATATGCTCCCTTAAAAGAAGGAACGAACCTGATCGGTCAGATCGCGCTGCTGGCAGCTGAAACATGTTTCTCCCTCCGAGTAGAAAGTAAACCGATCAACGCACTTTAAAAGATGAGGAATCGGGCAAGGAAACATTTTGAAAAACGAAAAAAGAAAAAAAATGAAACGAAAAAGAAGGAAGAGGGTAAAAAATCAACAGCCAAAACAGATGTTGAACAGACTGACAAGCTGGCTCTGCGCATTAACTTTCCAAAAAGGAGTTCAACGTACAACGAGCGAGCAAACAGAAATTGGAGCGAAATTTGAAAAATGCTGCGCAGGCGCAGACATATTTCTTTCATTTTTCTTCTTTTGGGTTTATATACCTAGGCAAACAAAGGACCTACGCATATCCTGCGTAAAGTGCGTGCTGGTGTCTATCTAGCAGATACAAAGATAGACAAGCCAGCTTGCAGCTTGACAGCAAAAACGCGGGAGGGAGAGAGAAAAAGATTGTGTATATATGTATGTATGTATATAGTATCCTTGAACAATTATCTAGCCAGCACAAAAGATTCGTGCAACGCATTTCCAAATGGGAAATCACGTCGCAAACGACAGAGGCAGATGTTTCTCTACAAATAATTGTGGAGATGGTGACTGTGCGTGTGTGTTTGTGTGCTGGTCTAGCTACCTGCCCCAGCTGCAGGTGTGTGTGAGTGTGTGAGAGTGTGTGTGTGTGTGCAGGACCTTCTAATGCTGCTATGTATAGTGGATTTGTCAGCGCGTTACCTGCATATCCTATTTATACATTTTCCCATTTTTGCGCACATGATTTTTGTATTTCCTGTAAAATGTTTTCGGTTAAGTGTCGACATCCTAGTTGTACAGTCAACGCTTTTCATTCCATGTCCTTCAACGCACCCGTAATGCGTTTTTCATGCCAACTGAATACGCTTTGATTCAGACTTCATTTGCAAGCATTTTGTTTGCTTTTAAGTGACAAAAGTGCGGATTAAATGCCAACAGAATTAACAAACTACTCTCTTCTGTTCTGTTCTCTTTCTTTTAAACCAAAGAGTCCAAACGATATTCGAAAACTGACACTTTTTTTTGAACTTTGTATTTAATTCATGTTATCAGAATAATAAACACATATTTTCGAGTTTAAATCGATGGATCTCAATACTTTTTCGTCTTAAATTTGTTTTAATTGCATCTAAGTTTAATGTTTTTTGCAAGCATCTGCTTGCTTATTATTTGTTTTCAAATTAATAAGTAAACATTAGTTTCTTTTTTTTTGATAATGTGATTCACAGACTTAATCCAAGTTTGATATTTTTTAAAGTAGTGTGTATAATTTTGAGTGTTTTATATAAAAATGTTGTGTCAACAAATTGAAATGGCACAATAAATATTTTCCATTTTCTAATTAAGAATGCAAAATGAATTTTACACTTTTTAGTGCACATGCAATATTTCTGGTACTTTTGAATACGAAATTTATCTTTCCAAATAATTTATAGACAGCTACAGAAATTAATAATAGCTTTCCTGCCTAACTCTTGCAACTCATAATAGACTTATCGATTGTATGAGCAGCGTATCTTTTACCTTTATTTTCAATTTATTATTTTATCAGTTATTTTTTAGATGTTCTTTGTTTGTTCAGCTAAAACTTGTGTTCTGTACTCACCCATAGAGCAAAGCAGCGCCTGCAATTCCGCCGCCACACTGTGCGGTTATATACATGGCAGTACGTATTGGAGATATAGTTCGCACCACACAGCAGGCTAGGGTGACAGCGGGGTTAATATGGGCTCCTACAAAAGATTCAGAAATAAATGGATTAAAAGATCGTAAAGCAGCAACAATATTAACAGCTGCTTTCAGACTTTGAGCAGAGATAACATTTATGACTATAACTTCCTTTAAAATTGGTCTTTCATGGAGAATCTGACCTGAAGTAATTGCTAAATTTTAGTTAGGACTAAATCAAGCCGTCCACTAATCGTTTTGTTCTTTAAAATCGATTGTTGAAAGAATTTGATCTTTTATGTTAACATACAAATGTATATATAAAAAAAAAGTTTAGTACCTCGATTGATTTCTCTCGTCACGCTGAATAGGAATATATGTATGTACATTTATTCTCCCTGTTGCATACTTTGGACCCCCGAGGGGTATCTTCGGGGGTATAAAAGCCAGCTACTAGTTTTTAACTTCAAAATGAAACCTAACTCGAATTTTTAAGTTAAAATGTCAATATTTTTACTATATTTAATGACTTCCCACTCCAATTTCTCGCCACACAAAAACTAAACCGTTAAATTAAAATGTTGACACTTTCAAAAATAAATACTTAAGGCATATCTGCATCAAACAATTGTCTGTCAAGTACATACATATGTACATACTATAGAGTGAAACGAATTAAGTTGCAACTTAAAAGAAACAAATCAAAAACACATGTTAAAAAAAGAAGACAACTTAAAAAATAATAAACAAACAAAGAAACAAAGACCCACACAGCTTCACAGAAAGCCTCCTCTTCATAACTAAAAGGGGGGAAGTACACGAGTATTTTGTGGAAAAATTTAATTGCCTCGAATGTCAACGCAAATGAAAAAAGAAATATACATACTTCTCTATATGTATGTAGTATATACTTGTATATGAGACTCGTAAGATTGTGGTGGGGAGCGGTTACTGAACAAGTCGACGCCATTACAAGTGTCCAGGACTGGAGATAAGAGGCAACAGGGATAGCCTCCGGACAACGATGCCAACGACTGCAGTGCGTCGCCTTTTCGAGAATTAAAAATGGGGTTGTCTTCTGTCTCTGATGTTGCGTTTGGGTTGTTGTTGCTGTTGTTGTGGCAGCAACAAAACGAAATTCCCACGCAATTTTCGTTGCGCCCCAATAGTGGAGCATGCAACATACACAAAGAAAAACATACATAGATTAGGAATTTGGGGTTCTTCTCAAATAAAATTTGACACCATTTCGGTGTAGAAGAGAACATTCTATGAGCGACATTTGTCGTTTATAACTCAATATCTTTGCAGCCAAAAATAGCGATTAATCATTTTTTATGATCTTTGAAGAATACAAACAGGAAGATATGAGAAAGAATATGATTATTAAAATATTATAACAACTGCAACAAAAAACTGAACTCCTTTTTTATGTTATTCTTCATTCGAACAATTTGCATTAAGTGTTACTTTTTTGCAACAATGGGTAAGATAAAAGAATATAATATTGAACAAAAATAAAAATTAGGTTTTACACAAATTTAAACCATTCTACTTTATCTTTTTTTCGAATATCAGATCTGTTTTCATTTTCGAAATCATTAATTTGTGTTATCAGGTTGCTTTCCGAATACAAACTATTTATGCAACTTCCAAGTCATGCTCTGCATAATGCATATTTTCTGAAAATTCTGCTATAGATGTGCCACATTTCTTAACAATTCTTATAAGATGTTCTTAACTAACGCTAGAAATCCCTTAATATTTCAACAAATTTTAAAAGCTTTCAACGGAAATGTGACTATACCTTTAATTCTATTTTTACACGGAAGATCCTAAAAAAGTTGTGTAAAAAAGACTGAATCGTGCTAAATGGAATAAAGTCGTGTAACCATATAAACAATTTTTAATTTTCAAACCGTGTAAATAAAGACCGTGTAAAAACAGAATTAGGTGCATATATTTAATACTGATTGTATTCTCCGATATTTTCTCTCTGTGTACGTACAAACACTTGTCACCCATGTTGTTATTTTGTTTGTTTCGTTTTTTTTTTTTTTTCTGCTTGTCTCGCTGACTCTGTTTGTTTTTTATGGTAGACCAACTTACCCGATATATGGAGAAAACATTGAGTTAACGTCGCCATCGCGAGACCGGAGGCCAGAGCCGTGGCCAACAATACAGTCGAAACGCTGGCACCCAAGCCGGCGCCCGCAGCTGCGCCGCAAACGATAAACACATACAGGAACGAAGCTAAGCATTCGCTGATGATGGATCTGCAAACAGGAATAACAGAGAAGAAGCACGAAAAGAGGGTTATATTATAGTACATATGGTAGGTTCTTTCTCAGATAGAAGTGGGGGAGTGTCATCTGTTCAGTTCAGTCGAGCTTGAGCTTGAGGCAAAGGCATCTGCATGTGCATGTCATTCCATTTCATATGCATAAAGTAAATATTGCTAAAATTATGTTGCATGCTGCAAATTGCAGGCAATGCCAGCGATGTCTTTCTCTTCTTTTGCGGCTGTCAACGTTTCTTCTTTATTTGTTTATTGTGATTTTTTTATTATTTGTATTTCTTTCCGACTGTCAAGGGAACAATTAAGCAGCGTTGACGCGGATTGCTGAGCCAGACAAGCCTCCTGGAGATGAGTGCGTGATATGTGGTTGTTTGTTGTGATTTAAAGTTTTCTCAGAATGTGCAATTAATAACTGCCTTAAACTACTTTATTTAAATGTTTCCAAATTCTGGCAAAATGTGTGGAAAAAGTGGAAAATGTGAATGCCTTGCCCGGTTTTGCACACCTTTCCAAATGGCTTACTTTTCTATTTATGCACTTCTATAACTATAGAGTATAACATTAATTTTATACTTTTAAATGCATTTGCAATATTTCTGGTGCTTTTGAAATTGTTCTTTCTTCCATTTGAAAAATACTAGATCGTTGTAAGAGTGTCGTAAACAGGTATTCATAATCCAACTGATAAAGAAAATAATGCTTAGCCTTGAAGGCTCCCTCCATAGAAAGGGGACTCCAAAAAATATTTTAAAAAACCATGACTCGAAATATTGGTAAGGCATCCAATATTTCGAGTCATTGTTTCATTTACAAATCAGGCATCAATTCAGTTTTTTAAAAACGAAACGTAAGTTTGATGTGTTCGAAATATTTCTTCAATAATTCTAAAAACAAAGTAGAACTATTACATTAAAAAATGTGAGTCTTCTAATTTATTTTAATGCTTTGACTTCGAAAAATTAATTTCGATAATATTGAAAATTGAGTGCGAAAATCACCATTAAATGTTGATAAAATACATGATAATTGTTAAAAATAGTAAGAGTTAAGTACTTTGCATGAAAAGCCCCGAAATTGGTTTGAAACTCTGTCCGATCTTATTGTTTAAAGCTGTTTCATATTTTCGGGGAGCTAACAAATAGCACAGTAAGCCCTATTGAAAATTAGAGTTAGTTTATTGAACCCATTTAAGTGTTTTCTATCGATCGTTGAGTTATATAACTTCACGAGGAACTTTAAATGATTTCCAGTTATCTGCCCATCTCTAGGGCCCGCGCATGGGACAGCTGCTGACTGACTGTTGGGGTCGGACCCTGACATTGTGGGCAGCAGGAGCGGTGGCAGTGGCTGTGGCAGGGTGGGAAGAGGGGCTCCGTAACAGAAGCCGCAACCAAAATGCAAACACCGAAAAGCGCACAACGAACGATAACAGAGAAAATCAAATAAGTCGTGAAGTAAACGGCGAAGGAGGAGCATGACGTGGAGTTGGAAAACTTTTTGCACAATTCCCATAAATTGTTGTTTAACTTTTGCATTTGGCACTATTTAATTGGCAGCGCAGGGTTCGCTTATTTTTTCTCTGTTGCCTTGGGTCAGCATAATGGCATTGGCTGACTGTGTAACTGACTGACTGACTGAATGACCAGCTGGACGCTCTTCTGTATGTTGTCATGGCCACTAAGTGCGGCACAAAGAATCGTGTAATTATATAGGAATTTTATATTTTGTCCATACTCGTTTAAAATGCAAGTTTCCGACGCGTTCTCAAACGCGGCAAGATTTAATTACTTTATAAATGCATGACAAAATATTAATTAATTTTATATACAGAAGAGCAACAACGACTGCCAACTGATTTTTGCTATTAACCAGCGGCTTAAGGACATGAAGGCGTGGTTTTAATGTCCGCGACAGCCAACTACGCTCCTGCAGGCAATAAATTAAATGGCTATGCATACAATTATTCATATATACATAAATACCAGTATAAGTACTTGTATTTATAATGGCAGTCTGGCTTTGATAATAACAAACATTTTTGCTTAAACATTTAAAATTATAGCCGGAGCAGTATATATATGCAAATCGTATTTATATTTATGATTAAATCAAACAAATAAGCAGCCCAGGATTACAAATATAAACAATACTAATATTTTAACATGCATTAATAATAATAGCTTTTAAAAATCCATGAATTATTTGTATTAAAATAGGAAAACATGCAAATGATTTCAAATAATAATTAATTGACGTAAATATATAGAAATAATTTGTTTACCCCAATTAATGTAAAGCCAAAACACATGGCATAAATATGGATTTAAAAATCCTCTGTAATGCTTACACATTAGTTAAGCTCATATTCTGTTTTTGAACATTTGGGCAGAGGATTTTCCACATTTATTCGCATAGCAACCAGACTGCATATTTAAATGGACATACCTATTTGTCTACCTACATATATAAGTAGTTATGTAGGTAAGATATATGTATATTTAATTGAGAGCAGGTGCAGCTAATAGTGTTGATTGACTTGCTGATTGATTGATTGATGCTTCAAACGATGAACGATGCTCGAGTTGTGGAGCGTGGGGAGTATTCAGATTAGATTAGTTATCGATTTAAAATGGGTTCGCTTATAAATTGTTATTCACAAAACACAATTTAAAATAGGTTGAAGCTGTTGCCTAATTGTTCTATTATTCAAAAATAGTTCAGTGAGTCTCATTTAAAAAAAAAACTTTAGATTTAAAGTAATGTGATGTTGTAAGCATAAACCATATTTTAAATCCGCTAATCATACAGAAAGCTGAAGCAAAATTGCAAAAATATTATTGAAAATAAAATGTGTATTAAACACGGTTAATACAATATTTAAGTTCAAGGCATCAACAATATAAAAAGAATAAAGAAAATGTAGCCCTTTGCTATTTTAATCGAAAAAAAGGCATGGAAATCCCAATTTAAAAAACAAGTTCTAATAATCAAAAGCGAAATTTTTAAATATTTTCGAAAAATAAATAAATTTATAAATCTTGAGGAGTTTTTCTAAGCAAAATGTGGAAACTTCAAAAATATCCATATTTTAACATAAAATGATGTTTAAGTTTAAAGCATAAAAGTATGCCGTTAATTATTTGAATGTATTAATACAACTTTAACAAGAGCTAAGTTTTTAAAAGGTGTTATTAAATTTGAAGAATTTATGACTCTGCAGTGTAGTATGTGCTCCATATTCATTAAAACGACTCCAACTTGAAAACGCAATTCCAAAAAACCACAAAAACAATTTTGAAATGTCGCTTCCGGGACACAGGCAAGAACAATGCAGAGGTTTTAGCATCAAGTCAAGGAACTACACGACTTTACAATTAAAATGTCATTGAGGTATCCCTAAAACCACCCACCTCCAGAACTCTAGGGTACGTATCTCCGCCTGCATGCTTCGCTTGGGCGCTTGCAGCGTGCTAGACAGACGATTGTTGCCGCCACCGCCGTGCGAGTCCTTGCGCATCGCCTCCAGGCGCTCGAACAATGTCACAATATGAAAGTCTATATTATGCTCCAGCGGCATTGTGTGCAAACTTTCATCCGCCATGATTCACTGCGTGCCTTTGTTTATGTCTATTTCTGTGATTTCGAGAGCGAGTTGTTGTTGCTGTTGTTGTGTTTATGATGTTGATGAGTTGCCGCTTTTGATCAAAAATAAACTCCAAACACGAGACACACACGCGACCAGACGACACTCAATCTCAATAGAAGGCGATGCACACTTAGGCCAACATTTTGCACGTTCACGTTTGCTGTTGTTGTTGTTTTTTCAGAATTTGCTTCAATTGATTTTAATTGAACTGACAAACCGTTACTTGAGCGGCACAGACGTCTTACGTTTGCGATTCCACACGAAAAACACGACCGTACTCAAGCGCGTTCAGCGAGCGAATGCTGTTCCTACGCCAACTCAAAGCCAAGTGCAGCCGTAAATCCAGCCCGCAGGAACAAGTTGAAAGTTGAAACTCACCACCACCAACACCAACTGCCCACACCACCAACGCAAGTGAGGATTCGTCAGTGAGGAATGCAATGTGCGCCCCAAACTACCCTCGCTACGCAATGGAAACGAAACAGCCACCGAGCATTCGGGAACAACCTGTTGTTGCTGCTGCCGAAAACAACAGCGAACAACAACAGCATCGTCGGTGGTGGCACATTTGCCTCCTGGCTACGGCTACGGCTGTTGTTTTTGTTGTTGTTGCTTTTTCGGCAACTGTGCAACATAATCAAAATCGTCTGTAACTCGATTACGCAGTGAGATCAATAACAGAGATTTGCGAACAAACCGAGCTCTCTCAGGCTCTCATGCATCTGCTTGGATGCGTCCGACAATCAGTGTCAGCTTTCATTGGAAACTCAAAAAGTCTCAGCACCGGATGAATCTTTAAAATTGTTTTTACTCCATATGTAAGCAAAGGGGTATTCGAAATGAGGAGATTTCTAAAAATTGAAACTACTAATTGCGTGTAAAGAGGAGACGACACCAAACACTAGATTATAAACTTAACTGTATTGTGGAGAAGAGACGTCGGCAAGCGAGTAAGAGAAAAACAGTTTAACTTCAAATTTAGCTTAAAGTTTTCCGTCTATTATCATATCGATTTCTAACAGCTATAATAATGTAAATGTTTCTTAAATTTTCAAATTCTATTGAGGTATTTCTATATTCATATCTTAATGCAGTTTATAAAAAGCTGTTCTTTTATAAGAGACAAATTAAATTGTTTAATGCAAATAAATAACTGTTGATATACAATAGATAAATGTTATCGCTATAAATTTTTTTTATATACACGTATGTTAAATGCCATTTAATGTATCTAAAAAATATATCCATATACGGGGAACTTTATAATCTTTTATAATTTTCGAAAACATGACTAACCCTAACAATAAATAATAATAACTAAAAATCTTGAACCCAATTTTATGCAACATTAAAAATGATAATTATAGGCGGCCAACCACTTGATACTTTTTTACCTATCGATTGTCAACCTCAACTTTAACTAGCCCTTCAGTACGCTCTCCCCTCTCTGCTTACCAGTGAACCAATTTAGTGTTGTTTTTGTTTTTTTAGATCAATGAGCTGTGAAAGTCACAAAAATTATACCGACCGAGCGACCAGAGAGTGAAATCAATCACAAAAGTGCATGCCCTGCCCACAGTTTTGATTTTGGGAGGCGTTTAGCATGAATAATAAAAAAAAAGCAAAAACAAAATATGGCAAAAAATTTCGCACAATCTTTGACGAAGGCGGGGAGCAATGTGCGGGGGGCGGACAGGCGTTAAGGACGTTGCACAGAATGCACCTTATATGGAATGATGATGACGATGTCGACGACGACAACGACAAAAGGCAGAGTCTGAGCGTGGGAATTATTTTTGCTCGCTCTTTTTGTGCCGTCGCGTCGTCGAGCGAGTGGGCCCAGTCGTTCACTCGTCCAAGTCCATGTCCAAACGTCCAGTCGTCGCTGCCCTCCATACACATACACACACACACGAGGTCGCACGGGGTCGGTCTGCAGTCGGTTGCTGGCTGGTCGGCCGGTCGCTCGTTCGGTCGTTTGTAGGTAATAATAAGATGTTTTGTTTCAATCACATCGTCGCATCATCGCAGTTGTATGCATATGCTTTGAACCTGAACCTGGAACCTCATCGATCGTCGTCGTCGACGTTGTTGTTGTTGGCGTTGTCGTGCTCTTGTAGTTGAAGTCCCTTTACTTTGTTGTTGTTGTTGTTGTTATTACGGCTGCGGCTGCTGCTGCTGTTCTTTTTTCAACACTCACGCTGTTATTGTTGTTGTACGTTTTCGTTTCTTTGCATTGCAGGCGGGCGGGCATTTTGCACTTCGCAGCGGCAGCTTCGCCGGCGTCAGCTCCAGCGGCAATGCTTGAAAGATCTTTTTTCAATTTCAATCTTGTTGTTATTGTTGTGGTCGGCTGTAGATGGTGTCATGATGTGAGAAAAGCGCCGAATGGCCAGTGATTGCATAAAAAAAACTTTCAAAAAACAGCGTTTTATTATTAAAATTAAGTTGTTTTTCGACTTGAATTTTATTTTACTTTTCATGTGATATTTCAACTATTAAGATATTTCTCCAACATCCAACTCTAAGTAGTCTCTAATAGTACTTTTCATAGACAATAACTATTCTAAGAAACTCTGTTTCGATTGGCTCGACTTTTTCAACCAAATATAGAATTGTTTATCTCTCAATAACTACCGAACTTAATTTCAATTTCAGTTTGGTATGACTCTCTATAGGGTAGAATATCTTTTAATACCTACAAGTATATTATTTATAATGAACAACTTGTCCAACATCCAACTCTAAGTTAACAAAACTATAACTAATAAGTAAGGTTCACTTTTAGCATTTTACTAAAAGTGGATTCTGGGATTTGAGCAGCACTGCCATACACACAAACTTGTATATATATAAATATATATTGGTGGAACACGACGGCGTGACTTATGAGTGGATTAAGCTCGCCTCATTCTGGTTCGCATCTGCTAACGCGGCTTCCCTCCCGTCACCTCGAATCTGAGGTAACTGAGGAAGGTAGCTGGCTGGTCGACGCTCAACTGTGCGCGGAGGAGCCATGAAACAATGCTGAGAATATCGCAGTCCCTCAGAAGATATTCGCTTTTTCTGCAGTTTTTGCGCTTTTTTACCTTAACAAGGTCAAATTTGTTGTTTCTTAATTTGCCGTTCGTTGCTGTGTGTGGGAAAAATGTTGAAAGTAGTGGAAGGAAGCATTATTAGATGGGTGCTATTAAGGAAGTGTTGGGGCTTATGATATGCCACAAAGGGGCTGAGTGAACAGCACGATTGCAAGATTAGCTCGAAAAGGCAGATAAGTTAAGCTAATTATTGATTTAAATATAATTCAAAAAAAGCGTGCGAGTATTGAGTTAGTATTTTAAAAGTTAGTTGTATATGATACGTTTTAAAACATGTTCTAATTAAATCTGAGTCGCATATTTCAGGTTCAGATGTCCCAAATTTTCCAAACCGTAGCACATAAATCACTGAGAACGACAACATATGCAAATAAATTGCGACCAAGAACCAAAGCCCATGACCCTGACATGAACAAAGTTGCAGGTTCAGCCCAGACTGTTATGTTCCCAGCCAGCCAACCAGTCTCACGGACACGTGCCCCACCGTTTTGAACACAGCTCAACCCTTTTTGGCACTCGGTTGTATGCACTGATTGTTGTTGCCACTGCCACACGCACTAATGATGCGGCATTATTTGCATATGCTCTTGTCCAGTGATAGCAAAGGGTTAAGGGTAACTTCTCCCTTCTCTTAATGAAGTGAAATATGTGCAACTGTGGCAGTTACGATAATTTATGCATGTTATACAACCATTGACTTGCCTCGCCGTCATTGTCGTTTTTTTATAGTCCGATCTATATACGATTTTAATGATATGCCCGCGCAATTAAGGCAAAGGGTTAACCCACAACACTGGTGTAGCTTCTCATTGCTTTTTGTAGTTGTTCAAAGCCGTTTATGAATTTTTAGCAGCAACCACCTATCCATCTATGGGCAGGATCTGGGAGAATGTTTTGAAACGCTCTACGGTTGGCACAGGTGTGAAAGTTTTGAGGGCATTTGCTATTTGTTTAAAGCAAGAATCTTAAAAAAAAATGGGTTTGAAAATGTCAAAAAATTTTATTTATCTATCTATATACTATATGAACGGTCCAGTAGTTTCGGAGCCTTTTGAATTTAAATAAACAACAAACAATCAAATCTTTCTTTAGTATAGATATAAAATTCATTGATAAACTCCGAAACTACTGAACCAATTTTAATCCAATTGCACATGTATCTGTTATTTGGTCTAACTTAAAACATAGGATAGTTTTTATCTCAATTATTTATCGTTTGGCTACTTTAATTGCGAATTTAGTTTTTTTTTTCAGAAATTTGTTCGTATTATTTCATCAATGTGTTGTGGATATATACGTGAAAGTAAAACTGACAAAATATTCAGACTGTTAAGTGTTAGTTAGTTCTTGAGGTGTTGTACGAAAGTGTGTGTGCTTGCCGGCAAGAAGTATTCAATTATGATTGTAAAAATATTGAAAAAATACTAATTTACTATATCTATCAAAACTACTGAAGCCTGAGGGTAAAACGGCTACGCTCATTTAATTATAAAGAAAATTGGTTGAATGTTTTTATAGCGAGTAGAGTCGCATACAAGTTACGATGAACTGAAACTGTACTTAAAAGATAACAATACGATTATTACTTAAAAAAGAAAATATAAAATAAGACAGTAAAGAGTGTCTCCTTTTCCACCTTAAGCAGGCTTGTAAGTTCTCCAAAACTTTCAATCGAAAGGAAACAATTAAATACGAAGTCACTAAACTTAAAAGTTTTTTACTGAGACGCCCATTCGATGAACTAAAAAACGGTAATAGATATATGCTTGAAGAGTGTCTCCTTTTCTAACTAAAGTAGGCTTGTAAGGTGTCCAAAACTTTCAATCGAAAGGAAACAATTAAATACGAAGTCACTAA